AGATAAATATTTATATGTATTTATTTTTTATTATATTAACAACCGCAAAGCTTTAAATCGCATCCGAATACATAAAAATTATATATATACATATACTTTTATTAAATATTATAGTATTTGTAAATAAAAATATTAATTTATATATAGATAAAATAAAATGATAAATTTCTATTTAAAAAATTTTAAAAAAAGAAAACAAAAAAAAAATGTTTAAAATGAATAATGGTAAAAACTGTTTTATTACAATTAATAATCAACAATTGAAAAAAAAAATTTTATTATTGTACAAATTATTTAAAAAAAATCTATTATGTTTCCTTTTTAAATTTTAATTAAATAAAAATTAAAATATATTAATAAGTTTTTCAAATAAGATCTAAAATAAAAAAATTTTGTGATATTTAGGTATATATTTGCGTTATTATTTGCAACGTGTTAATTAATTAATTTTTCTATTCTTTATTAGAATCTTGACTATATATACTGCCTTTAGCTATAATGGCTACTTTTTATACTTGTTTTTTCATATTTTTTTTTCCAAAAAATTAACTCTTTATTTTTCTTTTATTCAAATTAACTTTCGATTAATTTGAATAAAACCTTAATTTAATTCTTCAAAAATAAACTTATTTCAATTAAATTTAATTCTATTACTTTCAAAAATCATAATTCTAATTTCTATAGTTCACAATTTTATAACATTTTTCTATATAATTCACATTTTGTTACATTTATATAAAATTTTTAAAACAAATTATTTTAAATTATTAAAGAAAAAATTACAGTATATAAAAATAAAATGTAAATGGAGAAATTTATTCACATTGAGACCCTTGATATGGCAGCTAGACGCTCGGTGTTGAAACATTATATAATATATATTAAATGAAACACATACATAATAATAATATTAATAAAATAACCTAATGTAAATATTAAAAAATAAAGAAGAAAACTATAATCAATTATAAATATTTATGAAAAAGAAAATCAATTAAAATTATACATCACATAAGTAAACATTTTCTCATTATAAAGAAAAATAAAATATTCAAAAAAAAAAATATAATTAATTTACCTAATATTATGTTAAATACAAACTCAATCGCAAAATTTCTGTACACATTAAAGTATTCGAATCAAAATAAGTCAAATTGACATTATATATGCATTTAGGTAAAGGTTTTTATAATTAAATAATATATTTAAATAATTAAAAATATTTTTGTTTCACAATTTATTTTAAAAAATTTTGTTTAAATCATGGTTACAAATATGTGATTACGAATAAAATTCATTCATATACTTGTAGAAGAAAAATTAAAAAAAAATAATTAAAACAATTTCAACTCAAATAGAAAAACAAAACACCATTCCAGTCACAAAATAAAAATTACATTAAACTGTAAAATAAAATATTTGTATTCTGATATATACCTTGCTACATATAAATATTTATATATTTTTTATATTAAAACATACCTCTAATATATAACTAATAAACTACATACAGTAAGCAGTTATATTGAAGAGAAAATACTATAATTTCCAATTGAATTTGTCCTTATCGAAAAACATACGTAATACCCACATTTTTTAGTTATATAATATGCACTAACATAATATATAATTAAAATGAAAATAGTAAAAAACAAAAAAAGATGTGGTACACTCAAAAGTATAATTATGTGTATATATGTGAGATATATATATATATATACCTCATATATATATATATATATGAGGTATATATATATATATATATATATATATATATATATATATATATATATATATATATATATATATATATATATATATATATATATATATATATATATATATATATATATATATATATATATATATATATATATATATATATATATATATATATATATATATATATAGGGGAAACAGATTTAAAGGTAAATGAGGTATCAGTTGTAGACAAAAAAAATTATATTATTTTAAAATAAGAAAGTTAAAAGAAAATTTATAGAACATAAATCAATATATTTGTAAAATTGAATATAAAATATTTATAAAAATATATTAAATATAATATATAATTACATAATATAAACCTATGTCAGACAATATGTATTTAATTGATGTTTGATATATATAATTCTTAAATATTTTTACATATATTCGTAAATAAATATATATACAAAAAAAATTATTTATATTATCTGCTATAAATCTATACATAATGAGGAAAACAGAATATTTAGTAATAAAATCATTTTACATTTTATTATTCAATATTATAAGAAATTTTTAAATGTTATTTTTGGACATACAAATTTTTAAATACATATACATAATTTATTATGCTTGAAAAACATATATTCCGTGACTTCAAAATTTCAGTAATAATTCTTTGACTACGACAAAATTCAGTAATTACAAAGCTCGTAAACTGAATTGTATATTAATACCATATTTACTGTAATTTTGAATTCACAGATTTATTCCTTTAAATAATTTGTATAAATTTTAATAGTTATATATTAAATAGTATATTAATAAGAAATTTCTTCATTAATATAAAATATATATAACTAGAGATCAAGCGTAAATTTAAAAAAATTTTATTGCACTTAAAGATATTGTAATTTATTTATCATATATTCATACATATACATAATTTAATATGTGTTTCAATTTTTTACATTATATCAAAAGAATAATATTCTCATTGATAAATAATTAAGATATAGAGCTATATAAAAGCTAATTGTCGCCCTTTTCAAAATTGCAAAAATACGGTATTAAATATCATATAATAACTGTGTCATAAGCTGAATATTGTGTATTATATGAGTTCATTATGCAATTTTGAAATTACGATATATATTTTTTGTTGAAAAATTATACGAGTATTATATGTATACTTATTTAGTTATGTTTATGTGAATATAATTTATTTTATTTAAATATTAAACCATTTATTAATTAAAATATTACTAGATATTCTATATTATGTAAATTTATTAAAAAAAAACTGAAAAAAATGTATATTATATTTGTTGTATAAAAAAAAATCAAGTATTAGTAGCACTGATAAAATATAAATAATAACTAACTAGGTATTTAACTATAATATCGAATGTATATAAATGTGTATATATACATTTAACATAATATTATATACATACATATATCACATGTATTATTAAGTTTAAATTTTTATCATACATATTTAAAATTAAAAATTTATTATATTATATATATAACCTGTAAAATAAAAAAATTTTAAAAATTAATCTCAAAAATTCATTAAATAAAAAAGACATTTTTTTTTATATTTACACATACATTATAGTATATTATTATGTTTGTATATAAAAAAAAAATAAATGTACATAACAAAATAAAATACATATAATATGAATTTTATAAAATTAAATTATTGCAATAATTTTTTTTAATTTTTTTTGTAAATACTTAAATGAATTTATTATGTACATATGTATATACATATATCTAACTAATTTTTGGCCAAATATACAAAGAATAAGTATATAGATTTTTGTGTTTTTTTTTTTCATTTTTACTTATGTATTGTAAATAATATTAATTGTTATCAATAAAAAAAATAAATTTGAATAAAAAAATATAAAAACTATAAAACCAAATTTTGTTTTTTTAAGATGCATGAACAAAGAATCAAACTGTGACGTCTTTTGCAGCAAAAAAAAAAGAAAAAATCTGATTTAAAAAAAAAAGAAATACACTGAAAAGTTTAAAAAAATTTTAAAAACTTGCTAGCACGAGACAGATCTACTATTTTCTACTAGACCTATTAGTTTCCCCACCTGAAATAACACAAGACTTTTAAAATAATACAAACTATTAACATTTAAAATATTAAGTAATTTAAAAACATATTTGTGTATCTATTTTAAAATACGTAATCTTTAAGACTAGTTTTTAAAATGCTTCCATTTGAAAAATTTTGCTTTATTTTTTATTAAGAAGCACTAATCGCGTCTAAATACAAAGCTATCGGAATCTTTTGTTTATAGTCACAAATCCAAATCCCTTAATACACTGTGATTTTAAACAGTATTGGTTGATGTTATTAGTGACTTATATTTAACTTAATCTAAACATTTCCCATTTCAAAATTTCAGCAGTACGTTGTTGAAACATAACTCATACATATGTAGACATTCTAAAATATTGTTTGTTTATAAAGCTGTGTGAAAATTTCCTTCTCAGCAATATATCTAATGCTGAACATCCACTATTCAACTTGCACTCTCAATACGTTGAAAACCCACGTTAAATCGTTTATGCATCGAGTATCAACCTTTTGATGATTGAAATTTGGTTGAAGGAAATATTAGAAAATTTCATTTTATGTGGGAGTAGCTTTGTATGTTAAAAATCTACATCTTTAGTTTTGAAAAATTTTAATAATAATGTCGAAGTTTTAATGACTAAGTTGATCAGCATATTTTTTAAAATTTTGGAGGTCCATGTTGAATAGTGAATAGACAGCGTTAGAGAATCTATAAATGAGAACCCAACTATTTGAACAGAAAATTCTTATAAAAAAAAATTACAAATCCTTACAAAAATTTTGCTACACTTTCAAATGCATAAAATAAAAGAATAAATGTGAAACAACAAATTTATTAAAAAATAATAAATTTTAATAGAGACGATTTTTAATATAACTTGAAAAATAACAGAGTTATCTTTTGACAACGTTTAAGCATTTTAAAATTAATAAAATTTTGTCAAAAAACTAAATAATAATTTTTGATGACAAAAACCACGCTCAAAGCTCATTGTTTTTTTAAATTTGAAATTGAATTCTGTCTCGTGACGGGATATTCTAATATTTTTTAAACAAATTCAAATTTGGCAAAATATTTTCAGTTGGAAAAACCAACTCCGACATAAATTCAACTGGAAAACAGATAAATTGGCCATACTGCTGTACTTATATAGAATGTCAAAAATGGCATTTAAGAACGTGCTGTCAAAAACGTAAACAAAATATTTTTAATTCTAAATTAAAAGTTTTGTAGCTAAGGAAATATGCTACCAAATTTAATTGTAAAAAAAATAGCACAAGAATTTAATTAAAATTGAAGGTATTCACAAATAACATAAATCAACATTATTTTCTTATAGGAGCATTTTCATTGATAAATATATAAACATATAAAAAGTATGCAAGACCTGAAAATGGATAAAACTTCGGCTCTAGGGTCGCCTACAAAAGGAAAAGCTGGAAATACTACGCCACGTCCCATTAACTCAAGTTATATAACCCCAAAAGTAAGTGAAAACCAATATGTGGATATAAGCAAACAAATTATAGGATTTAAGTTTAAAAGCACAAAAAAATAATTATCTGTATATTGTACCTTATAATTTGTGGTTGCAGAATCCTCCCCAGTACTGCCTTCTTACATCTAATTTGGTTCCTGCAACAACTGCTCAAGAATCATCTAACGAAGTAAAAATGCAGTAAGATAATATGCCTACAATAATCCAGAATGGAAGATTTTCACAAAATTTGTAAATTTTTATTTTTAGAAATATTGTTGCCACCGTTTCTGTTGGCTGCGAGTTAAATCTACAAAATATTAATTATAGAACGCGAAATTCGGAATACAGTCCAGCTCGATTTCATGGTGTAGTTATGAGAATGCGAGAGCCACGATGCACTGCCCTCATATTTAGAACAGGGAAAATAATTTGCACAGGAGCCAAAAATGAATTAGAAGCTAACTTGGGTACCCGGAAGTTCGCTAGAATATTACAAAAGCTGGGATATCCAGTAAAATTTTTAGATTATAAAGTACAAAATATTGTAGCTACAGTAGACTTAAGATTTCCTATAAAATTGGAAAACTTAAATCAAGTTCATCAACAGTTTAGCACATATGAACCTGAGTTGTTTCCAGGACTTATTTATAGGATGGTAAAGCCTCGAATGGTTTTGCTTATATTTGTTAATGGAAAAATAGTTTTTACTGGAGCTAAATCTAGGAGAGATATAAACGAGTGCCTAGAAACGATTTATCCAATTTTACACAGCTTCAGAAAAAATTAAACTGTTTTAGTTTTTGTAAAATTTGCAATATCTCTTGCAATAAAAGTTTTATAATTTAATATTAAAAGGCACACATATATTATAAATATTTATTTAACATAAAAATTAATTAAAAGTGTTTACCTTTTATCCCTAAAAGTAAAATAAGCCTTTTTATGGTTTGGCAGATGCAACTTTTTCTTTCAGAAAACAAGAGGCACTGAATGTTATGAAAGGAAATGAAAATTCGCTTATTTGCCAAAATTGTTGAAATTACATTCTCTCAAATCACACAATTGATAAACTACATTTTTAAAAGAAACGTAAGCACTTTGACACTTAACTTGCAGAGATCCCTAAAAGAAACGTAAATGATTATAGTCGGACTTTAACTACCGGGCGGTCTTTTTGGAGTTTTCAACAGGTAGCGCTACGAGCGGGTTGAAACCGTACTAATTTTGACGTTCCTAAATTTTTGTTGTCTAAAATTACAATTTATCATCAAATGAATTGAATATTTAGTTAATCAGTGATTTGACTCTAAATAGAGTAAGTAATAAGGCATTTTACAATTTCCACAGTTAATTAACAGAAAAAAATATATTTAATTACAATTTTCATCTGGATTTTTATAAAGCTCCATATAAAATTTTAGTTTAATTTTGTTTACAATTAATAAGTGAAAATAAGGCAGGGAAACAAGAATTTCAAAAACATAAACAATAACATCTAGTTTGAAAATGCTAAGAAAATCTGCAACTAAAGACGCTCATATTGTGAAAATTGCAGTTGAATTTGAAGGGCAAATTGCTCAGTTAATTAAATTGGATCAACTACAACCCTTGGCCGGTAATTATATAATAACAAATTGTTTTTAACAAGTTCATAACCAACCTAAAAAGGTAGATGCCTACCTACATGACACACCCTTTTTTATAAAAAAGAAATTATTCGTGATTACAAAGATTAAAAGCAGTTATATGATATAATATGATTTTTAGGTAAAATCCAGGAACTATGTAATAATTGGAATATAACAGACCCTGAAAACTATGCTTTACAATTTGGAGAACAGGCAAATTTTAAATATGTCACCGAAAAAAACAGAGGAGAAATAAAAAACGGTTCTGTTTTACGTTTACATTTATCCCCAGCAAAAATTACATCTGATATTTTAAAGACATTACATTCGCAATCCTCTAATGAAAAAATAAAATGTTTACAAGATTTAGCACATCTCAGTATAGACTTAACTTTTGTTCTAGAATTTATAAAAGAACAAGGTCTGGGCATTATAATATCTATGATTGAGAATCCAAAAAGTGATATTCAAATATTAAAATATAGTTTAAAAAGCTTTGTGGAGTTGATGGAACATGGAATTGTTTCATGGGAAATTTTGGAAACAACTTTCATATCGCGAAACATATTAATTATTCAGAACTTCAAAGACTATCCGCTAGAATGTATTGAGTGTGCTTTGTCAAATTTGGAAAATATAGTTCAAAACAGTACCATTACTAAAAAATATTCATTGATTGAAAAAGATGTAACGCTTGAAAATATCCTTCGAATAATAGAATTGTCAGATTCTTCTGTTGCACAGCAAAACGCTATTGCTTTAGTGAATGCCCTTTTTTCAAAAGGAGATGAAACAAGAAAAAAACAAATTGCTAATGCATTTAGTACTGAACATTTTCGAAGTATTATATTAAAAAATTCAATTAATACTAGTAATGTCGGAACTGAAATGGCCCATCAGTTATATGTTCTTCAGACACTTTTACTTGGTAATTAATGTTTGTTTTTTTAATTGCCTCTCATAAAAGTTCATTTCTGCAATTTTAGGGCTCTTAGAAAGTAGAATGCGAACTATGATGAATGCAACTGATCATGATTCAATGGAAAAAATAATGGATTTGAGAAGAATAGCTTTTGATGAATTTTCTAATGACAAAAAGTTTAATAATCTCAACTCAAATCAAAACCAAGAAGATATTTCAGTGCGACGCGGTGTGCTTGTAAATTTTTCACAATATTACAAAAAGTTGGGGTTTAAATCAGATATCAATCCTGCACAGGATTTTATTGAAACACCACCAGGAGTGTTAGCTTTGGATTGTATGATTTATTTTGCAAAAAACTACCAAAAACTTTATATTAAAACTGTGCATGAAAGCTATACTTTTAGAAGTGATGAACATGAATGTCCTTTTGGAAGAACATCAATCGAGCTAGTTAAATTACTATGCGATATCCTAAAAATTGGAGAGCCCCCTGCCGAACATTCAAATAAATTCCATCCTATGTTTTTTACGCATAATCATCCATTTGAAGAATTGTATTGCAAATGTATAGTAGTGCTAAATAAAACTTGGAAAGATATGAGAGCAACACCAGAAGATTTTCACAAAGTATTTAGCGTTGTTCGTGAGCAAATAACGCGCACCTTAAAAACAAAACCAGCAAATTTTGAAGAATTCGAAAAAAAAATTAGTGAATTGAACTATCAAACAATAACAGCATTAAAGCAACAAGAGCGAACTTCAAAAGAGGAGTGTGAATCTACGGCACCATCTATTATTGCGTTGAAAGAAAAAATTTCACCAGAAATTTTGGACTTAATAAAACAGCAAAGGTTAAATTTTTTAACTGCAGGTAACTGCTTCCTTTTAACTATATTGAAAATATTTTATTCCGAAATTCTTTAACTCGTGAACCGATTCTTTAAGAGGTAATTATAACAAAAACAATTACAAGCAAAATTATTATAGTTATATCAAATGTTTCTAACGACATACATCACAATTTATATTTTTATATATTCTGAAGTAACTAAATTATTTTATATAATATTAGTTTATAATAATTTATATATTCTTATTTATTCACAAAACTTAGGAAGCCGATTTTCTAAATATACCAGAGGAACACGAAATAAGGATAAATTTTGGTATGCACGTTTGTCTTCGAATCAAAAAATCATTCACTATGGTGATTGCGACGAAAAATCCGTCCCAACTATTGATGAATTAGCAAATAAAGTTGCTGTTACTGATATAAAACAGCTTTTAGTAGGGAAAGAATGTCCACATATGAAGGGAAGAAAATCTGTTGGAAATTTATGTTTTTCAATTGTGTTTGATAATATGGATTTAGCTACACTTGATTTCGTTGCACCAGATGAAAAGACGTTTAGTTATTGGACAGATGGTATAAATGCTTTGATTTTGCAGGACATGTGCAGTCAAGAAAAAAATCAAGATTTCAAACTATTATTATCAATGGAAATCAAATTGAGATTACTAGATTGTGAAGGAATTGACTTAAGCAATGATCCTCCGATAACACCAGAAGAACCAGAAAATTACGATTTTTGTTTTGAAAACTAAATGTATTAAAAAGTACCAAAAAACATTAATTTACACTTAGTATTTATATTTACATTAAACATTGTAATAGATTTTTGTATTTATCTTAAATATACCAATTAAAAAACTGAAAGTTTCTCCTATTAAAAAAAAAAAGTTTTGTCGATTCAAATTTTAAAACATTTTACTTAAATTTTATTTTTAATTGCCTTTGTAATTTTTAAAGTAATGTACAACATCAAGTAGGTGGTTACTCTCTTGCCCCCTTTTTTATTGTAAAATATTCAGATAAGTCGACATTAATTCTTTAGAACTTCTTAATCTGGTTCCAAAATTCCAAAGTTGAGCAATGGTATAGTTTTTCTGTGTTTATACTTTTCAATGTTTTATATTCATCTCTTTCGTAGTCGTTACCTTTAGCTAATAATTTTCCAAGTTCATCAAATGATGGATAGTGTCCACTCTCTATCATTTCGAAAGTAGGATAAACGTATTGAGTATGTGTTTTAACTTTATTTATACTACACAAACTTGCGTAACCTTTTACTATTAAGAATTTGTTTATATTAATATCTTTTCTAGTACTAGTATCAATAACAGTTATGTGATAAATCTTATCATCTTGGTCAAAATATTCAAGTTTCGCCCAAAGTTTCTTCTCGTACACATAACTTAATAAAGTATATGTACAATCACGTTGCCAAAACATATCAGCAGGATTTAAAAATGCAAAGCAACCACGATAAGCTTGAGACGGAATGTTAACAAAATCTTTATGTATATACTTAAGTGATGAGATATGTATGTTATCAATAGTTCCGTAATCAACAAAATATACTTTAACGAAATTTTCCACAGGAACTTGTAAAATTTTCGCACGATGCCAATATTTATTGTATAACGCAACACATAGTTGATTAGGATTCATATTTGATAAATGCATATCATATTCTTTTGACTCGCCTATATTTTGATAAAACAATTCAATTTTAAACATTAATTCGTCCAATATCTTGCTTTTCTCCATATGAAACCAAAATTTGTGAGGGTTATGAACTTCAGATACATAAAGACAAAACTGCGATCCTACAGTTAAATCTAATATATGATTTGCGGCCGGAATTTTGTGTTCGGGTAATGCCACATCTTTTGGAAAGTCGTCTAAGAACACCGGAATGTCATCTTTAAAAATTGAAAATTCATCATCATTGGAAGAAGACATTGAAACGGCATTTTCTTTTATATTTGGGTGAATCTCATTTTGATTTTCTAAGCAAAAGTTATCAAACAAACTTGTTTGTGAATCCCCATTGGAAGATGATACTGAACCCTTTTCTTGATTATTTGATTGTACTTCACTCGGATTTTCTAAACATAGCTCTTCAAAAACATCACAAGTTGATCGTAAATCATTAACGAAATCATCGCTCTTGCTCTCATTATAATCAGGGAGCGCAGTGCAATCTATTCTTACTATGCTATCACACTCATTTATAAGGGTAACATTTCCCAGCCTGACTTGCTAAATACAATAATCAAATAAACACTAAATTTATTTCAGAAAGAAACCAAATATTTACCTTTTTTGATTTATTTGCGTTTTCCGAATTCTTAATATCATTTTCTTCCATGTAATTAAAGTGAGATTTATCAATGCTATTTGAAATTTTTTGAGATTCATTTGCATTTAAACACATCGTGGTTTGGTGTTTTTTCGGGTAATGTGGAGATTGTGCCTTATACTCATTGAAAAAAACGTTTCTTCCTTTTGTAAAATGTTTGTAATACCATAACATATGTATTTAAAAAGAATAAATAATAATATATAATTTCAAAAACTAAATTAAAAACCTTTGAAAACACGAGGTGATGATTTCCAAGCTTCACGAAAACCTTTCTTTCGGCGTTGTTTATTGGTTTGGGCTGATATCATATATTCAATATGACTGGTTTTACTGGATGATTTTGCTTTAACGAAAGTTGTATCATTTTTTCTTATTAGAATAAAGCTCCCTTCAAACGACGAAATTAATGATTCTAAAGAAACGAAGCCTAGTTTTTTAAAAGGAATACTGTAGCCTGCTTCCAGTTCAAAATCTCTTGCTAACTTTTCCAAAGTTAAGTCTAATAAAAATACATATTTAAAAATTTTGTTGCATAAATCAGTGTATATTTTAATTATTGAAATACAAATGTCTTACCAAACGGACTGCTTAAAACTAAAGATTTAAGAATAATTTCTAAATCGCGTAAATTCATACTAGAAACTAGATATTTATTCACAAAATAAATTACAATAATAATTAAAAACAAACCTCAATTTTTAAATAATTTTATATAACACTTTCAATTCAACTGAACTGATTCTTCACAAAATTTATATATTTTTAATTATGGTGTGGCCATCTGTTGTAAATTTTTTAATTTAAATTTTATTGTTATTTTAATGGCTTTATATCTAACAAGTCCCAATGCTCAGAGAGAAACTTGAAATCACTACCTTATTTGATATGGGTTTTTTTTAAATCGAAGTGGCTATTTTTTGAGAAGAAATATTAAAATAAATTCACACTTATTATCTCATTTCGGTTATTTATACGTTACTTATAAAATTGTTTCAAATAATTTTCGTTAGTTTTTAAGTTATTAAAAATAAATATGTATGTACCTACTTCCAATAAATTTTTGTTTAAATAATTATTTTAAAACTATTTCAAACATGTTATATTGAGTGCTTCAAAAATTTTGCTGTGCTCTTTTTTCATATTTTATTAGCAAGTAAACAAGAGCAATCTATTTATAAAATGTCCCTGCGTGTGTATGTATGACCTATCTTAATTCTAAACGGAAAGAATTTTAAAATACCTGAACAAAAATTTTAAAATACCTGTTATTTTACAGTCGGAATTTTTGAATCATTTGGTAAAATACCATTTATTTCAAAAATAAAAAAATATTCAAATCCGGTCATAAAAATATATAATTGTTTTTTCCAAACATTTTAAATATTTTTTTTCTTAGGTAATTGATATAAATGATAGTAAGTTTTTAATATTTTTTCAAATAAAAATAGAGGTAAAATTTTGAAGTTTATATAAAATTTGTATTTAACAAATAATATTTGATTGTATTTTAGATATTATTTTCTAATTCCCTCTTCAAACTTTTCTTTATTATGTATTTATATCAATATTTAAGAATTATCTTTCATTAATAATACTTTCAACTTGACACCACAGTTACTCCCCATATCTTGAGTTAACTTACCCTATGAGAAAAAGCTGTTCACTTAAAAATAATGAAATGCTTTCAGTAACATATAAAACGTTGAAGGCGAAGGATGTGCTTGTTGTTTTTCCACTTTTTTTTTAAATTTTAAAATAATTATCAATGAAAATATTAATATATTTTTTTGATTTTTCAAATATATTTTCTAAATTTTACCTGCTTTATAATAAGTGTGAATTTATTTTAATATTTCTTCTCAAAAAATAGCCACTTCGATTTAAAAAAACCCATATCAAATAAGGTCGTGCTTTCAAGTTTCTCCCTGAGCATTGGAACTTATTAGATATAAAGACATTATCCTGAGATTTTTTAAAATATTAAACTCTTTTTTTTACGTAAAAAAAAAAAAATAATAAGAAATTAAAGAAAAAAAACAGGAACGAAGCCAAAAATTCGTAATATTTCGTAAAAAAAATTGAGTATTGGGACTTGTTAAATATAAAGACATTAGTTATTTTATTATTTTAACCAGAAAATTAATCGTTACAATGGTTCACGGTCATTTCCTACAAAAATACCATTTTTTCGGCTGACATACAAAACACAAACGCAAAATATGAGTGTGCATCAGTATGTATTCTAAAATATAAATACCTCAAAACAACCTGTGACCAAAATACCTTTAATCTAAATGAAACCATTTTGCCATAGAGTTTGAAAAAATCCCGCAAGAGCTATTTAGGTTATTGGCTGTCAGGTGTCAGCTTGTGAAATTCTAATAAAATTCCATAAATCACCTTTTTACCGCCAAAATATTCAGTTTCATTTTTCAGCAGGGAAAGACTTCTTACTTAGTAATTAATTATTAATTAATTGTTTGTTCATTTTTATTCGTGATTTCATATATTTTTTGAAAAGTATAGAGTATTATTTTCTTATATTAAGTTTTATGTTTTTAAATTATAAAGTTATATATTCACTGGAATGAAGCCCACAAAGCTATATGTTTTTAAAAGAGGTAACGTTGGAATATTTTTCAAGAACATAAATTTATAAGTCATATTTTAGACGGCCGTAAGGAGGAAGTTCATTTTGATAAAATAACATCAAGGGTTCAAAAATTGTGCTATGGGTTGAATATGGACTTTGTGGATCCAGTAAGTTTCGCCTTTTGTAGTTTTAATCGTTATTTTTTAAAGCTGTACATTGGTACATAGTGCATACATCAAGTATAATTGCCCCTAAATTCCAAAAGTATGTATGTGCAATGCTTTTATCTCTTGGCTAATGATTCATGTCATAGTTGTTTTATTGTGAATTTATAATGACCTCTGTGTATAAGTAAGTTAAATTAGAGTCAGAAAACAATGAATATGAAATTCTGATTTAAATCTTTGTTTTCAAAGATATAAAAAATAAATCTTAATATCTTGTATGCAACATTAACATTTTGTTGTTTTTGCAATAGCTGGTAATTTAACAAAACAACCGCGTAAAATATTATAAGTTTGAATTTGGAATTTACATTGATTTAAGTATGTTTAAACATCTAAATTTATGTAACACATGTGTTTAATGTCTATGGCAAACTTAATTTTTTTGAAGTACATGTATGTAGGTAACTTGCAAAGTTGAAGTAACTTCATTTTTGTATATTAAAAAGGTTTCTATAACGCTGAAAGTTATAAATGGTCTATATTGTGGTGTAACAACTCAGGAGTTAGACAACTTGGCAGCTGAAACTGCTGCCTCTATGACTACCAATCATGCTGATTACGCTATACTGGCAGCAAGAATTGCCGTTTCTAATTTACATAAGGAAACCAAAAAAGCATTCTCAGGTAAATTTTCGTCTATTTTTAATTTTGTCATCTGCTTAGCTCTTAGAAGGTAATGTTTAATTGTAATAATATATGTATCTTACATTTAGTTAATATTTACATATATTTTATAATTTAAAACTTATAATTTATGTAAATATTAACAATAAAAGTTAAACAAATTTAATTTTCGTATGGTTTTCAAAAAAAACGTTTCAAACAATTTCAATAAAAGCGGTAGAATTGCATTTTGAAAAATATAAGTATGTACATACCTACCTACCTAGATTAAAAAATCTTTTATTTGATTAACTTATAAAATTTTAGCTTTTCATTAACAATTTAATTTTAACATTCAAATTTACAACTTAACAAAAATTTTGTAAAATTGTACATTTTATTTCGACTTGTTAAAATATTCAATTGTATTTATATATATAAATATATATTTTTTTTATTTTTTTTCTTCTTTTCCTCACAACCAACTCATTCTTTAAAATACTATAAATATTTCAAGACGTAATATTCGACCTTTATAACAATATCAGCAAGGAAACTGGCAAACCATCGCCATTAATCTCTGATTATCATTATAAAATTATAATGGACAACTCTGATAGATTGAATTCATCTATTATATATGATAGAGATTTCGGATATAATTATTTTGGTTTTAAAACATTAGAGCGCTCATATCTTTTAAAAATAAATGGAAAAATATCTGAGAGACCACAACATATGCTTATGAGAGTTGCAGTTGGCATACATGGAGATGACATTGAGAGTGCTATTGAAACTTACAATTTGCTCTCAGAACGTTATTTTACTCATGCATCACCTACATTATTTGCTGCTGCTACGCGACGTCCTCAACTTTCATCATGTTTTCTACTAACAATGACAGGTGATTCCATAGAAGGTATTTTTAAAACAGTTGAACAGTGTGCCATGATTTCGAAATCTGCAGGCGGCATTGGTTTGAATGTTCATTGTATTCGTGCGACAGGAACAACAATCGCTGGTACCAATGGAGTTTCCAACGGTCTTGTACCTATGTTGAGAGTTTTTAATAATGTAGCTCGTTATGTTGACCAAGGAGGAAATAAGAGGCCTGGAGCTTTCGCAATATATCTAGAACCATGGCATTCTGATATACTTGAATTTTTAGATTTGAAAAAGAATACTGGAAAAGAAGAAACACGAGCTAGAGACTTATTTTATGCATTATGGATTCCAGATCTCTTTATGAAGAGAGTGGAATCAGACGACGAATGGTCTTTAATGTGTCCGCATAAATGTCCAGGTTTACATGATGTATGGGGTGAAGAATTCGAACAATTATATACCAAATATGAAAAAGAAGGTAGAGCTAATAAAAAAATAAAAGCACAAACACTTTGGTTCGCAATTATTGAATCTCAGGTTGAGACAGGAACACCTTACATGTTATACAAGGATGCTTGTAACAGAAAAAGTAATCAACAAAATGTCGGGACAATTCGATGCAGCAATTTATGCACTGAAATTGTGGAATATTCTTCACCAGACGAAATTGCTGTATGTAATTTGGCGTCTATAGCTCTTAACATGTTTGTTTCTCCGGACAAAACCTTCGATTTCAATAAACTAAAAAATGTTTCAAAAATTATAACGAAAAATTTAAACAAAATCATTGATGTAAATTATTATCCCGTCCCCGAAGCTAAAAAATCGAATTTACGGCACAGGCCAATTGGAATTGGGGTACAGGGGCTTGCTGATGCGTTCATATTAATGCGTTTTCCTTATGAAAGTAAAGAAGCTAAATTGTTAAACCAACAAATTTTTGAAACCATTTACTATGGCGCTTTAGAAGCTAGCTGTGAGTTATCCGAAAAATTTGGTCCTTATGAAACGTATGATGGCTCACCTGTAAGCAAAGGAGTTTTACAATACGATATGTGGAATAAAACTCCAACAGATTTATGGGATTGGTCTGAATTAAAGGACAAAATTGCTAAACATGGGATTCGAAATTCATTATTAATCGCCCCAATGCCAACGGCATCAACAGCACAGATTTTGGGTAATAATGAGTCATTTGAACCGTATACATCAAATATATATAATCGACGGGTTTTATCTGGCGAATTCCAAGTTGTCAATCATCATTTATTGAAAGATCTAACAGAATTGGATTTATGGGATGACGATATGAAAAATTTAATCATTTCTAATCGTGGGTCTATTCAAAATATTGAAAGAATCCCTCAAAATATAAGAGATTTGTATAAAACCGTCTGGGAAATTTCTGTAAGAAGTACAATAGATTATGCTTGTGATCGTGGAGCTTTTATTGATCAAAGCCAATCATTTAACATCCATGTAGCTGAACCAAATTATGGTAAATTAACTTCAATTCATTTCTACGCTTGGAAAGCTGGACTGAAAACTGGAATGTATTATTTAAGAACAAAACCTGCTGCGAACGCCATTCAATTTACAGTTGACAAAGCACGCGTATCGCCTGTTAAAAAAATGCAAAATGGAAACTTATCGCCCTCTTCAAAAACAGCTAATTCTTCAAGAGTAGATTTGAGGAAAACTCCAACAAAATTAACATATGGCGACACTGAGGAATTAAATGGTAACGTTGATGTTTGTGACAGCTCTTATTCTTTCACCAATGAACAACAAGTTTTGAGAAATTTACAGGAAGAACGTCGTGAAAAAAATATGGCCGAAATGATATGTTCGTTAGAAAACAAGGATGAATGTCTTATGTGTGGTTCTTAACTTATACTAATAAATAAAAAGAAAAAATTTTTAAGCTAAATAAAATTATTAAAAATTAAGATGGTTTTATATTTTGTTTTTACTGCTTAAATCCTTCAAATCATAAAATTTTTAGTACACCATTTTTTGAATGGTAAGAAAGTATTTCCATTTTAGAAATTAGTACACTTTTAAATTATGAAAAAGAACAAATTTTATACTTTAGTAACCAAGATCGAATTATAATAGCCTGAGAGCATAAACAACATCCACAAATCGGTTGAACTCTTTCTTCAATAAAACAGTAATTTTATATGTACATATATACTTTTACATATCATTAGCCAAGACGAACATTTTTAAAAAATTCAAAATGAAAATATTTTTTTTTAATTAGGAGCTCATAACTAAGACGGTTATTCAGGGCCTTTATAATGAAGCAACAACTGTTGAAATAGACCACCTTCTAGCAGAAACCACTGCATCAATGACAACTTCACATTCCGATTACTCTATTTTGGCTGGAAGATTAGCAATATCCAAATTGCATAAGGAAACGAAAGCAAAATTTTCAGGTGAAAATATTTTAATGATAAACTAACATTTTAAGTTTTTATTTCCATTATCATTCGCAGAAGCTATTAAAGAGTTATATAACATACAGAACAAAGATTTTGGAAAACCGACACAAATAATATCTGACATGCACTATGAAATTATTATGAAAAACGCAAATAAACTGGATGGTGCTATTGACAACAATCGTGACTACAATTACAATTATTTTGGTTTCAAAACTTTAGAAAGGTCATATTTACTAAAAGTTTTAGGGTGTACTGTAGAAAGACCTCAATATATGCTTATGCGTGTTGCGATAGGAATTCATGGAAGTAACATTGAAGATGCTTTAGAAACTTATGACTTATTGTCGGAAAAATATTTTACACATGCGTCACCTACTTTATTTTCTGCAGCTACAATCCGCCCTCAACTGTCGTCCTGTTTTCTGCTGTCAATGACGGAAGACTCTATAGAGGGAATCATGAAAACCGGTTTTTACTTTATTTTTTTATCAATAAGTTTTTAATTAGAAATTTAATTTTTAGCTGATCAATGTGCTAGGATTTCCAAATCTGCTGGTGGAATTGGGCTGAATATTCATTGCATTCGAGCGAAAGGAACTTCTATTGCTGGGACAGATGGAAAGTCAAATGGAATTGTCCCAATGCTACGTGTCTTCAATAATTTAGCAAGATTTGTTGGACAAGGTGTTAATAAAAGGCCTGGTTCATTTGCTATTTATTTAGAACCTTGGCATGCCGATATATTTGAATTTTTAGATTTGAAAAAAAATACCGGGAAAGAAGAAATTCGTGCAAGAGATTTATTTTATGGGTTGTGGATTCCAGATTTATTTATGGAACGATTGGAAAAAAACGGTGATTGGTCCTTAATGTGCCCACACAAATGTCCTGGTTTGTTTGATGTCTGGGGGGATGAATTTAAAAATTTATACGAAAAGTATGAAAGTGAAGGAAGAGCTACCAAAACTGTAAAGGCTCGAGCATTATGGTTTAGTATAGTTGAAGCTCAGGTTGAAACTGGAAATCCATATATTATGTACAAAGACACATGCAATCGTAAAAGCAACCAAAAAAATCTTGGAACAATTCGTTGTAGTAATTTGTGTACAGAAATTGTGGAATATTCTTGTTCAGATGAAGTTGCTGTTTGCAATTTAGCCTCTATTGCCCTAAATATGTTTGTATTGCCAAATAAGACATTTGATTTTGTTGCATTGAAGAATGTTTCAAAAGTTATAACGAGAAATTTGAATAAAATTATAGACGTAAATTATTATCCAATCCCAGAGGCTAAAAAATCTAATTTTAGACACCGACCAATAGGCATAGGAGTGCAAGGATTGGCAGACGCTTTTATTCTAATGCGTTATCCTTATGAAAGTAAAGAAGCCAGATTACTAAATCAGCAGATTTTTGAAACAATTTACTACGGAGCTCTGGAGGCTAGTTGTGAATTAGCTAAAAAGTTTGGTCCATATGAAACTTACAAAGGCTCGCCTATAAGTAAAGGAATATTGCAATATGATATGTGGAATAAAATTCCAACAGACTTGTGGGACTGGTCTACATTAAAAGAAAAAATTGCTAAGCATGGCGTGCGAAATTCATTATTGATTGCTCCCATGCCAACAGCATCCACTGCACAAATTTTGGGTAATAATGAATCATTTGAGCCCTATACGTCAAATATATACAATAGACGAGTTCTTTCTGGTGAGTTTCAAGTTGTCAATCATCATTTGATTGAGGATTTAATTAAACTTAATCTGTGGGATGAAGACATGAAGCAAAGTATAATATCCCAAAGAGGATCTATTCAAAAAATAGAAAAAATTCCTGAAGAAATAAGAAATTTATACAAAACTGTGTGGGAGATATCGGTTCGTTCAACAATTGAAATGGCGGCTGATCGTGGAGCATTTATTGATCAAAGCCAATCTTTTAATGTTCATGTTGCAGAGCCAAATTTTGGAAAGCTAACCTCTATTCATTTTTATGCTTGGAAAATGGGTCTTAAAACCGGAATATACTATTTGAGAACAAAGCCAGCCGCTAATGCTATACAATTTACAATAGATAAAACTAGATTTGAACAATCTAAAAGTTCACAATCTGTGGAGGGCAATGTAGGTATAAATACCAAACAAAGAACAGATAAGTTGAATCAAATAGAATGTTCATTGGACAATAAAGACGAATGTCTTATGTGTGGATCTTGAAGTATTATTTTTATTTTTCGTTATTAGTAATAAAATGGCATTCAATATATTTATATAAATGTCTACATGTGTGTTGTTTTAATGAAAAAGAGAAAAAATAGAGTCATGTCTGTCATACGAATTTGTTATTGAGACAGACTATGACTTTAAGTTGCCGTTACCATATTAATTTATACCAAATTTCAGTATTGTGATTTTAATATTTTCTTGGATATGGCCAAACCACTATTGAAGTTGTATAACAGTTTCCAGGAGTCAAGAAATTTCAGCCATTTTTATCACGCATAACAACCTTAATAATATTTTTACACGAAATTTCATATTATAGCTCCAATAATTTCTGAGATAATGCAAAATAACTTTTGGAGTTAAATGGCAGCTATCACAAGTGCTCATAAGATCTCAACAACTTTTAATGAATGTAACTGCCATTTTATCGTTTTATTATTACGAATTTTTGAATTTTTTCTTGTTTTTTTCTTTAAATTCCACTGATCGTGTCATATTTCTTATTATTTTTTTCTTTTTACGTAAAAAAGTTCAATATTTTAAAAAATCTCAGGATTTTTAAAAAGCTTCCCATTTAAATTCTATTGACCGAAAAATAAAGAAAGGCAGAAGGAAAAATGTTAATGAGGAAGGATGTATGATTTTTTATGTACATTTTGTATTTCCCAATAAGGCAAGTTGAGTAGTGTCGGCTAACAAAAATGTTAATAAAAGTAATATAGGTTGACACATTTCAACAATTTGAGTTATCTCATTTCCGTTATTTACGATACTTATAAAATTGTTTCAGATAATTTCAATTATTTTTTAAGTTATTAAAAATAAATATGTATGTATGTACCTACTTCCAATAATTTTTTTTTTAAATAATTATTTTAAACCTATTTCAAACATGTTTGAGTGCTTCAAAAATTTTATTGTGCTCTTCTTTCATATTTTATTAGCAGGTAAACAAGAGCAATTTTACATCAGTAAATTTTACATCAGTACCTACTACTTGTCACAGAATTTTAAAATATTTATGAATGAAAATATTAATATATCTAATTGATTTTTTAAATATATTTTCGAAAATTTACCTGCTTTATAGTAAGGGTGAATTTATTTTAATATTTCTTCTCAAAATAGAGCCTCGATTTAAAAAAACCCATATAAAATAAGGTCGTGCTTTCAAGTTTCCCTCTTAGCATTGGGACTTGTTAGATATAAAGGCATTATGTAGCCAAACAATTTTTCAAGTTATATGGCAGCTACCAAAAAAAGCCAAGCAATTTAAATGACTTTTATTAATATCTATATCTATAGGTTCTATAATTTCATAGATGTAACCAAATAAATTTTTAACTCCAACATTACCTAAAAGTACCAATGTACTGTTTACACATACGACATAATCTAAAAAATTGATTGACGCCATTTTACTTTTAAAATATATGGTTATTAATCTAATTAAAAAAGAATATGTACCTATATAATTTCTATTATTTACCATTATACAAAGTCTGACGTCGCTTTTGCATATATATACAATTTCTATCAGATTCAGATTAACGCTTCAACCATGTCAGCTGTTTTTTTGATGACTTTTGTCGGTAGTAATTCGTTACCACAGAACTAGTCAGGTCGTCACTATTTTAACAGTCGTTTCTGTGGATTATATTCTTCGAGTTCCAAAAAATTTAAGCACTTTTTAATTATCTTTTACACCGCTTATTCTGCAGATTAATTGATTTGCGAAGTTCCACACAAAAATAAATATGCTACTAATGTTGAAAAAGAAATTTCATATACTAAATTTGGATGGTACACGGCTTTCTACAACTTTTATAATGCACTTAGTACGTTGAATTTATATCGAATTTGAAAAAGTGTATGCACACCAAAAATATTTTTTATTTTTATTATAAGTTTGTTATTGGTCTTTGTACCAAGGGAAACTTGGTATATAAAAAGTAACGATAGTGCATACTTTTGAAAAGACAAGTACATAAGTACTCACTTTCACATATCAAAAAAGTTGTCAAAGAAAAAAAACTTAATAAATGTCAAAGTAGCAGTAATATTTTTGGTATGCAAAAGTTTACGTAAATTAAGTTCCAGAGCAGAGAAAGAAGAAATACGACAGCTTGGGGCACTATAAATTCTTGCTGTGATTAGAAATACTTTATCTTTTTGCAAAAAAATCAAATCTTAAAAATGATTAGTGCTACATCTCGTGCTGCTTTAAGAGCTAGTACCCAAGCAGTATCTGGTGGAGTAAAAGCAGGTAAAACCCCAGCAACTGTCTCAAAATCCTTGGTTATTGACAAAATTAAAATCAAGAAAATACCAAATGGAATACCAAGGGCTTCAACTAGTTTACCTGGTTATTATTTTTCAAAATACAATAGAGTGTTTACCTTAAAAATTTCATAATTTAAAAGAAAATTGTTAGATTATGTAATTTTTTAAGGTTATAAATTTAAAAGCCATCAAAATGTACATATACTTATATTGTAGGAATTGCCCAGATACGTTTTGCACATACTGATTTAGCAGTACCTGATTTCTCAGCATATAGAAGAGACTCTGTCCAAAAGAGTACAAGTAAGAGCACAGGTGGAGATGACAGAAAATCTTTTACTTACATGATGGTTGGCGCCGGAGCTGTAGGTGGAGCATATGCAGCTAAGTCTTTGGTTACACATTTTGTAAGCTCAATGAGCGCATCAGCTGATGTTTTAGCCATGGCTAAAATCGAAATCAAATTATCAGATATTCCAGAAGGAAAATCTGTAACCTTTAAGTGGAGAGGAAAGCCATTGTTTATTCGTCATAGAACTGCAGAAGAAATAAGCACCGAAAGAGCTGTACCTTTATCTGAATTGCGGGATCCTCAATCTGATGACGTATATTTACTTTCACTTTATTAAATTTGTAATGAGTTTTTTTATTTTTTAGCAAAGAGTTTCTAAACCTTCATGGTTGGTTGTAATAGGTGTTTGTACACATTTAGGATGTGTACCAATTGCTAATGCTGGTGACTTTGGTGGTTATTATTGCCCTTGTCACGGATCCCATTACGATGCTTCTGGACGTATTCGCAAAGGACCTGCTCCACTTAATCTTGAAGTCCCGGAACACACTTTTCCTGATGATGGAACCCTAATAGTTGGTTAGAAAAAATTTATTTAATTTTTTTCAATTTAAAACTTTTAAAACGGTGTAATATTCTTCTTGTAAAAGCTTAATCAAAGAATTGTTATAAAATATTCCAAATAAATTATCAAGTTAGAATATACAATGACATTAGTTTGGATGTATGTTTTTTATATTAATTTTAGGCTAAATTCTTAAATTAAGTGAAAAAATTTGTTTGGATGGTTGTGTACTGCATTTGGAAATTAAAATTCCCTCAATAATGAAATTTATGTAGATAGGTGTCTACTTTAAAATGAGTTACAGATTTTCCTTATTTTTTAGTCTTCTTAATAGTGAAAATATCTTTTATCTCAGTTATGTGAAATATCCATTCATTTTCTGTGTAAAAACCAATCTGAAAATTTTTTAAAAAAGACGTAGAATTTCAATATGGAAAAACTAGAATTGTCAGATTGGTTAATAAATGTTATAACTATTATTTTCTTGCAATATGTAAAAGGTCATTAAGGAAATACGAAGATGTAAGAATTCATAATAAAAAAATAGCTTCAACAACACATCGCTTCAATGCAAACTTTGAAGTCTTTGAATCCTACACAGGAGCTAAATATATAACTTTCTTATATCAATTATTATTTAAATTTATGCCATTATTTAAACAATCTAAAGCAATATAAAACCAACATTGCAATATAATTAACTTTTATTTTTTCCAATACATATACCGGCGATCCACCTTAATGTGAATTATACATGACATTTATATTTCGTTGTAGAATTTCAAGAAAAATACTTGATTTATCTTTGGGCCTTTGGATTTGAAGTAGGTACCTACCTAAATTCATAAAGCTATAAAACATAAAATTATAAAAAGAAAAATTATTTTAACGATTATTTTGTTAATTTATTTACACATGTTATAATAATGTTTTTATTATTAATTAATAGAAAAGTATTATTTTTATTATTATATTTAAAAGTAAAGGGTATTAATTAAATCTAACATATATATTTTGCCTTAAGTCTTGTAAATAATAACTTTAAATTATTTAGTTAAAAATATTTGAATCATATCTATTTATTTTTTTTTTTTTGCTTTATATATAATATATAAAATTTATGTTTATGATTTAATTATATTATTTTACATTAAAAAGCTTTTTAAAGTTTCAAAATTCTTATGATTGATATAGGAGAACATTTTTCACAAAATCCCATTTGTAAAATATTGATAACCATCATAAAGTTTTGTTGAAAGACTTTTTAATGAGTCCTGCACAAGTTGTTCAACCTTCCGTTCTAACTCTTGTTCGGTTAAATTCATATGAAAACGTTTTCTTAAATTTTGCACTGTTCCAGAACAACCATTTTTAAAGCACGGTAACTGAGCATCTGCAAGAAAGAAGGTATGTAATATTGAATTTCTTTTAGTACATTAATAACTTACTGCTTCGCATAATTTCAACTAAATTAATTATCCTATCCATGTGCTTTCTGGCGGCCATTAATCCTTTTAATAATAAGTAATTGAATTCATCCCAGCGATCAGATACCATTCCACCCATTACTTCAACAAATTCGTCAGTTAATTTAAATGGGGACTGTTCAAAACCTAAAAAATACGTTAGTAAAGTAAAGGAAAATAAGTTATGGTACAATTATTTACCTAAATTCTTTGGTGAAATACTCAAAATAAAGCCAAAATCAATATGTATTAAATGACCGTCAGAATGGAGAAGAATATTACCATTATGCCTGAATTGATATTTGTTATTAAAAAAAAATACACAACAAATAACAAAAAAGGAAAATTTTACCTGTCTTTCACTTGAAGCAAGTATGATATTAAACAATATCCTGCACAACTTTGAACAAAATTTTTTTGCGCAGCTTTAAATTGTATTCCTTCGACATCTCCATACTCTTGAATAAAATAATCTCTTAAACTTTTATTTGAGTTCTTTTTTATTTGATGCAAGGAAACTGTGTTTAAAATAGGTTCAATTAATCCACTATCATCTGAAAGACAAACAATTTTATATGGCCTGACCCAAGCGTCAACTTTCTCTTCATCCCAAATTAGTTTAAACATCTTGAATAAAATTGAACAAAATAAATGAAAATACATTCATATAAGTTATAAATTTACTTCGAGTAATTGTGTAGCCATTAGTTCTTGTCGCAAATCGTCCCCACATTTGACTATTGCAGCTAATAATTTCCAATTCGTTAAATGTCCATAAGGCGAAGATTCTCTTATTTGTTGTTCTTTTTCATGCCAGGGTTCCTAAAGAATAATATAAATAAGTATTAAAGTACAAAATCGATGTGATTATAAATATATCACTTTCAAAGCTGCGGCGGAAGGGTCTTCTGGATCATTGCTAAATGGTTTCGTATTTTCGCAACTAAGATTTTTGCAATGTCGTGTCCGGACATCACCAATATTAAACAGAGTAGGCATACCTATTATAAAAAACTATAGATATTTAAATTTTAAATAAATATATGAGCCATACCTATATCTGAATCTAAAGACTTTTGTGATATTGAATCTCTTTCATTTATTTTGCGCTTAAAAATATTGTATTGGGCGGTAATATCATCGTCTTCTTGAGACCATACATCGTCTTCTGTTAAAGTCAATTGATTAAAATGTTGAATTTGACAGTTTTCACAACTCTCTGAGTTAAATTTTGATATTAGACTGTTTCCAGCTGAATTTTTCGTTGTTTCATTAATATTTCTTATCGACTGCTGATCATGTGAACATGCACTGTCTTTAGACTCTAAATTTTCTTCACTTTTTGTATGCCTCAATGTAGGCATTAATTTCATTATAACAGGGGATGAGTATATATCATTTACTTCAACGACTTCAACATATATTATATAAGGACATTTATCTTTAGAATTGAGAACGACAGTCTTTTCCTCACTTATTCTAACGATGTGATGTGGAATGTCATCCGAGTGCAATGGAAGCCATACACGTGCAGGCAAATTTTTATTAATTAAGTTTAGAAATATTCTTAGAGCACTATTTTTTTCAGCTTTTGTTTGTAGCGAAGTTAAATTTTTTCCAATATTAATTAGAGCTTTCATAAATTCCTTTTGTGGAGCAGTTTTCGGTGCACCACAGCAACAAAATATTTTGTGTCCCAACAAATCGTTCACCGTTCCTGAAATTGAAATTTAGAAATTAAGTACAATCTTAAAATTATATACTGGAATACAAATACAAACCTTTAACCGACTCAAAACAAGTGCAGCCATTATCAAAAGCCCGACCTGACGTTAAATCACCAAGACAAAGTTTCATGGGCGTAGCTAACGGCATATGGTAAATTGGCATTCTAGAGGACACATTCAACGAACAGACAGCAGGAGATTTTCTTGAATCATTTAATAAATACGTTGCATCAGATTGAGAACGATGATGAGTTTTTTTAATTGGAGATATTAATTCTGCATTTACCATTTTAATTTGTTTCCGTTCTTTTTTCGAATAAAGTTCACGTATTAATTGTAAATGCGTTCTTTTATCTTTTGGTAACAAATTGACGGTGTCGACTTGATAATTATAAGCTTCTAACAGCCAAAGACATTTTAAAGAAAAGTCTACGGACGAGCGACAACGTTTTGTCAAATATGGATCTAAAACTTCAGCCAATTCATCCATTTGTATATACATTACAATTAATTGAGGAATGTATAAATCTACATCTTTATCGGGAAAACTAAAAATTTTGTTACCGATAAAACTTAGTACTCCTGGTTCTTTTGAATAAAAAAGATAATGGACAGCAAAATGTATATTAAATATGGGTGATTCTAAAAATCTTAACAATCCACTTGGACCCTTTTCAGTCTTGGAGACAGTCGCCGCATCTTTTGCTTCATCATTTTCTTTTATGAAACATTTCACAACCCCTAAAATATTGTTTTAAATTTAACAAAATACTTCAGATTAACGTACTAAATTTACCTGGTACTTTGAGTTTATTTAAAGAATTAGAAGAAATAGATTTTGTTATTGATTTTTGTTCATCCTGTAAACTAAGTTTTTCATTGCAGGTTTCAAATGTGGAATTGGCTGAATACATTGCAGGAATATGGAAAGATGGTGATATTAACTGTTGGTCTAAAGTTGGTGCGGCAATACTACTTAAACTCGATGGAGGAGCTACTGATTTTTTTGTATTTGATTTTAATATAAAAAATTCTTTCTTTCTCGTTATCTCCATGGGAGATTTAACTTCTGAAGGCTCCCCAGCTAAAGAAGAATTGCCAACTTCAGTTTTTTTAGCAGCAATTTTTTTCTCGTGGTTTTCAATAATGCTCTGAGCCGTACGGAAAATTGCATTTTTTGTTGCTCCAAAAAAATTAAAGTTTTTAAACAACACTTCATTTTTAATGTTTTCTGGTTTGGTTGATTCTGAAACAATTGCAGCAGTAATATTTTTTACTGTATCCGTCTTTAAATCTGAAATTTGCTGTTGGGATTCAGCAACATTTGCAATACCATCACATGTTGTTTTATTTGTATTTTCAGTATTTTGGTCAACAAACTCATCTTCGTCTTCCTTAGCAATTGTTGCCACAGATTTTTTATTTGACTTTAATGTTCCAAAATCTTGATTATGTGAAGTTTGTTGATAGAAACATAAATCAGATTGAAGCATTTTATATTCTTCATCCATGGATATGGTTTCCAGGATTTCTATACATTCTTCATCATGATCCATTTCACCAGAATCTAGTGATTCATGGGAGTGTGATATACGATTTGAAGATTGGTCTGACTCTGATCCACATATAATTCCTATATTGATACATGGAAAAACAAGTTTTTAAATTCACTTTTCCAAAACAAAAAATATATTACCTGAATCATTAGATCTTAAGCTAGGTATATCTCTTGATTTTTTGGCAACATTACGCTTGGCACTGCTATCAACGATAACTTCGCTTTTTTTATCTTTTTTCGATGTAATAATTGATTCAGCAAAATCCTCACAATTAATGGGAATTTTGGAACACATTATTTGATAAAAACCATAAAAAATAACTTTTAATTTTTTTATATGGTTGAAAAAGGCGTAGTTTGACAGAGAAAATGGGCGAGGACACTTTATTTTGTTTCAAAACAAAATAGTTGAAAACATCTCTAATTCAGAACAACAAAAAAGGTAATAATAGTTTTAATATTTATTTTAAATAATTATGATACTAATTTTGACATTTTTATAATAATATTGTCTAAAAAGTAAAAATAATATTGTTTATTTTTTTTTAAGCTTTGACAATCTACCCCCTATGTTTTTTCTATGGGATTCCAAATTGACACTTAATTTTGTTGACATCACATTAGATTTGGTGAAAGAGAAAAACATACTTTTTAAACTGAAGCTGTATGTAGGTATGCGTTTGCTGGGTTATAAGGGCTGCCCAGAAATATAATTTTGGTAATTAAAATATAGAGTTACAAATTTTTGTTATAGATGCATTAATTAATCTTGTTGTAATAAAACCTCTAAGTTTTATGTTTGTCTGTAGGCCACTTTTTGAATTTTCGAGTATGGAGCTTTTCGAGATTGGATGATTGGAAATTGAGTGTTCTTTGAGATTTCGAAGAACACTCAATTTTTATTTCAGTTTGCTGACATGTGAGGAGTTGGTAGTATTTGAATAAAATTTTCATTCTATTGATTTTACTCGATTTGTTTAAGTTCTAAAATTTATGTTACGTGAGTAACTGAGAAAAAAGTAAATAAAAAATCAAATTATGCCATAGATGTATTTTTAGGTTACAAGTTTCTCTTTTCAATTTTTAACCGATTTTTGCCGTGATGCGGCAGCACTTTTTCAATCATCAAAGCATCAAACTGAAATTTCTACAAACTATTTAGAAAAACAAAACCTATAACCCTCATATCAAAAGAATCCAAACAAGTTAAGCGAAAATTGAATTATGAATAATTCTGCTACAAAAGTAAGATCAAATTTTGAACAATGACCATTGCATTATTTTTACTATATATGCATATGTAACACAGGTAGGTGAAATTTTCACTGCAGCCGGGCAAGCTTTTAACCGTCTTGGAGAGTTAACAATGCAATTGCACCCTACTTCAGATTCACCATCTTCTGGGTAAATTTTGTGCGGCTTTTTTTAATAATTGATAACATATTACTTATGCCTTCTTTTAAAGGAGCAAATGGACAGATGAAGAAATAGAAATGTTACATGCTTCTATAAATCGATTTTCAGATGATCTAAATAAAATTAGTTTGCGAATTAAAAATCGAACTGTGTAAGAAAAAATTTTAGTTTTCTTCATCTGTTCGGCACTGTCGAAAAACGCTTTGACATGTTTTATTTTTAGATCTCAAATTAAACAAACGCTAAAGAAAAAAGCTTTTGAAGAAGCAGGAATTCCTGTAAAGCAAGTACCAGTTCAACATATGCAACAGATACAAGTACAAAATATTCAGCAGCAGCAACAACAACAACAATCACATATTCAAATTCAACATCATTCACATCAGCCTCAATCGCAAGTTCAGCAAATAATTGTGCAACCCAATCAAATTGTAACGTCAGCAGCTGCTTTAGCATTGCCATCAACTAGTTCAGCAGATCCAGAAACTGTGGTTGCACAACATATTCAACAACAGATTGATAGTAGCCAAGTAGTATGTTCTACACCAACAACAGTTTTATTAGATCAAAATAATACAAATGAAGTGGCGATGACATTAAATAGATTACATGCACAGGAAATGACTTTGAATAGATTAAATACTCAAGAAAATGAAGTTGACGTTGAAGGTTTGCAATCTGAAGTGAAACTTGCTTTTACGGGAGAAGAGGTGGCTGGATGAAATGAAGTTGAAGACGAATACTATTTTTAAGACTGTGAGGTGAGATGATAGTTTAGGCATTGTATAATAAATTTTCATCTAAAACATTTTAATGTTTTTGTTGCAAGCGTATATAGATATGTAGGAACACATATTTTAAATTAAACTTGTATAAAATTGAATTTAGTTTTATTTTTATAAAAATATAAACTTTAACTTAGCATTAGATTTTGTGTTTCTTTATAAAAATACAATACTCTACCCCATTTTGTAGCGGTTGTTTCCAATACCTTAACTTTGTTGCAGTTATTTTGCAAATATTCATTGATTTGAATTTTTATGTCACTTTTCCATTTAAGAGTTTTGTAATTTGGAAAAGCGTCGATATAATTGGCTCTTTTCATTCTTCTAACAGCTTTTCCATAACTTTCCCATGATTGTGGCTCAACAATAAGTAATTTAGATTTTAACGAAACAGTTTTAAGAAAATTTCTCAATCCCTCATCGGAGTGATTTAAATGAATCCACATCGTTATTGATAGACAGAATACTGCATCAAATTTCTTTCTGTTGTAACTTTCTAAAAAATCATTTACATACTTCAAATGGTTAACATTCATAATATCAATGCATTTAAAAATAAGATTTTGATTTTTCTTTGTTTTACTCTCCGCTCGTTTTATTAAACTTTCGTCAATGTCTATACCTAACACTACAACATTTCTTCTTGCTTCGCCACTTAAAATTTCATATAATTTTTCAGTAAGATCCCCACAATTACATCCAACATCTAAAACTATAATTTTGTGTTTAATAATTATTGCTTAGACTTTTTTAAAGTCATAGTCGATACCTACCAATGTAAGGATCTAATACAAAATTCCAAAAACTTTCTGGTATATCTACTATTTTAGAAGTTCTTTGTTCAACAGTGTTAAAATCATAGTAGTTTATAAAATTTCCAAATTGTGTAGCACCTGGATCCGAATTTATATTTTGTTTACTTTCCATTTTTTTTGAAGTTTTATTCTTGTAGGTATACGTATGTAAGTCTGATTAACCTTGCTGTGTATTATTTTTTAGAAAACTTTGTGAATAAAGCATGTACATATGTATATGTACATGTAACGTAAAATCAGTCAACCTTGACTTGTTTTTCAGAGAAACATTCAATCATAAATTCAATTTGTGAATGAATCTATCAAATTTAGGATTTGATTTCAGAAAAATTTTAAAAAATTTATTTCTAAGGAGAAAATTTGTGCTGTTAAAGTAACTTGATCATAGTCAAATGTAAAATCAACAATCTAGTGTAAACTACGTATTTTAACAAAACAAATATTAAAGTCAAAAAGGGTATAATTTCTGTACGATTCATTAAAAATAGTCTAGTAGTTAAAAATCAATTTACTTTTTTTTGAATATGATTTCAAATAAATAAAAAATGATATAATTGATAATTCGCCAGTTTTTGTTAATTTAAAATTTTACTTTTCGATAAATCATAATCAAATTTTCTAAAAATAGATAAAAATATTATTCTTAATAAAATATGTGTTTGTTGAACAGTATAACATTATGAGTATCAGTGTTTCAGTATGGCTAACTTAGGAGTCAAACTTCATTGTATTGACGATATTGTTGATGAAAGTGTTGTTGATGTTGACATCAAACAGTTTTAAGTCATAGGTTCATATAAATACAAAAATGTTAGCCATACATATATACCTTAGGTATATACTTATGTATGTACAAATTATTTTATGAATGGAAATAACATAATCTATATGTAAAATAAAAATTTTAATAAAATAAATCTGAGTCTCGAAAATTGAAAATCTTGTGAGATTTGCAAATTGATTATTGAACTATTTTTATTCTTTTTTTATTATTATTACCCTTATTCTATTCTTTTTTTATTATTATTACCCTATTTAATTACCGTTATTATGAAAAATTTCAAGTTCTTCTACTCTTGTGTTGCACATTCAAACTTCTAAACAAATCAGCCCTGTCATAGTTTTTAATGCATTTCTGTTGATAGATGACAGTTGCTGGAATGAATCACCATGCAACTTCCTCCTTGGATTGATCATTCTTAAAACTCTTCTAATTTTTTTATTCGTTGTCCTAATAAGTTTTAGTTGTTCAAACTTTCGAAAGAAAGTATACATACTTTACACATGCACATATTCATGTATCACATATGTATATATGTGTACATTTACCTCAGGCAGTCATGGCTTATTGTAGATCTCTTCGTTCCATATCCAAGCAAATACGCGCGGAGATATTCCTCAAGAGATTGGACGTGTGAGCTCCTCAATGTTGAGAAAACAACACCCAACCATCTGTGTCTCCTGTTCAATTTAACTTTCATAATGGTATTTAAACCGTATTTTTGTAATGATCTTCATGTTTTTATAACGGAAAATTTATTACACTTTTTTTGCATGTATTTTTTTTTTAGTTCTTTACAAGCATTCTTGTTACCTATAAAAGGAAATTTTTAAGAAAATGAAATTTTTGATCTAAAAAATCAAATAGAATAATATGAATGCATTTATGTATCCACATACATATGTATGTATGAATATATACATATGTATGTATGAACATATACTAATTTTTATGGCATAATTTATTAAATTTCACGTAAACAATTTGTTTTTAATTTATCCATCGAATTTTAAAAAGTGCAAGCGTATAAAAAATATGAAAAATTTAATAAATTATGATAGAAAATGCACAATTCAAGCATCACTTTGCTTTCTATTATTATTCATAGCTGCACACTTATAGAGTATTTAAATAATTATTATAAGTTAACATTAAATTTAAAATTTTAAATTGTTTATTATTTACTAAATGGTCTTATTGGTCTTTAAAAAAAATTTATTTACCTCTTATTATCGCACTCTTTTAAGATAATTAATTTTGCTTTAACTGCTATTAAACTCATAAAAGTATCTCAAGGAAAAAAATTCTTATCTTTTATACTGAGAAAGCCTAAATGAAACTTTTGTGTGAACTTTTCTAATTAATTAAGCTTTAGAATTCGATAAATCTGCTGCAAGATGTGTAGATGTAAATGAGATTTTAAAGAGATGAATTTGAACCTGGTATTAAGATATTTGCAAAGAATTTAAAAGATGCATGCAAATTCATAATGTATTTTAACGATTTTACAAAATAACGACCTTTTGTTTTTCTTTAAATTAAACCAATTACTTTCTGAATCAAAATGCATGTACATAAGTAATTAAAACTAAAAAAATATATTCTCACGCTATGTGTTTTCGATTGGCTGATTTTTTGGCCTGTTTTTCTTTTTTCAAAATTAGTAACCAATTTTTGTCTGAAGAGAAGAAATTTTATTTTTCTTTTTAAATTATTTTACTAAAATAAAATTTAATGAAAATTTATACTAGCACAACATAAATATTTTGGGAAATAGAGCATCAAAATGCATTTATAAGAAGAATCACAATATGATTAAAAGTCAGTCTTCAATTGATGTTTGATAAGTGAAAAATCTTATAATTTTTCGGTTCGTTTTTTTTTGTCAAAAAAAGCACAATGTTGAAAAAATTTTTTCTTGGGATTTTGTTTCTAGTAAGTTTGTTTCAATTAAATAGTACCCACCAAATTGATAAAATTGGTGGTTTTGGACCAGAATTTGGATTAGTTCAGAAATTATATGAGGATTGTCAGGACACAAATGATTTTATATATTGTTTAAAGGAGAAAGCATTAAATGCATTATCAAAAGCAGCTAATCAAAATAATATTAAAATTGCTGATGGATTAATTTTAGAAAAATCAAATTTAATGAATAATAAAAGTATTTTAAATGAATTACAAATGGATGCCAGATCAATGAATGAAATATCAGATTTAGATAGGAAGCTTTTAGAGAAAATTGATAAATTTTTTGGTTCTCATATTTTAAAGTTTGATTTGAGTGAAACAAAGGAAAGTAATGAAGTCAGTTCAAGAGATCGTAAACATCATAAAAAGAAAGATCATGGTATCAAATATGTTGTAGCAGCTCTTTTAACAGCTATGGGAATCGCTGGACCTATTGGTCTAAAAGCACTAGCTGCAGTAGCTATAAAAGCTTTGGTAATTAGCAAAGTAGCATTGACCATAGCAAGTATAATAGCCTTAAAGAAACTTTTTGCACACGAACATCATGAAGAAACAAGTTTTCAAGTACATGCTGGAGATCATAATAGGTAAAGGTTTTGATTGTTTAATATCTTAAAAGTTAAACAAACCATTAATCATTTTAGGAGAAGCACTTTTGTAGTAAGACCGGTGAAACCTTCTGCTGCAGCAACATTGGATCCTTACAAATATTACTATGAGTATCCGGCTTCTTCACATTGAAAATGTATTGTTTTCATAAAGCTTAAAATATAAAAGACTGTTCTATAATGAATATTAGCTAGAAAGCCAAATAAAAAAAGCAAATTAAAAATTATTATTTATAAAACTAAACATTAAGGAAATGAAAAATAATTTTTAGAGTTTAAGAATTAAAATTATTTTGTTGCAAAGTTGTATTTATTTAGTATGTTATGTTGTAAATACTTTGGTATTCTTTAATTATTGTTCTTAATAAATTATGATGAAAATATCTAGAAATAATTTTTATTTATTGAATTACTGAATTTGATTCCAAATAATTCTTAAAATTGAAACTAACCACATAATTTTGTAATTTTACTTTTTATTATTTTTGGTTTAAAATTACATTAAAATTTTGTAAATTCCGTTTCAATATTGTTTATATATAAAAACCATAATTGGTTAAAATATTTATATGTTAGTTTTCTTCGTCGATTATAAATATCAATGCGTTCTTCAATACTTTTTTTAAATAAGTTATTAACTGAACAAGGGACCGTAAAGTAGTTTTGCGATATTTTACTTAAATTTTTAAAACTGTAACTAGTATCAAGCCACCAGGTTATTGGGCATTGATCTAAATCAACATTTGTTTCTGAATCATACTTAATTAGTTCGCTTTCCAAACCATTTTTAGTAAGTGTGGTAATTTTATTTTTCTCTTCTGTCTGGTTAAAAAATAATTTCAAACCTGTAAATAAAAATCAAATGTTATAAAGTATTGTAATACAAATAAATGTAATAAGGGATCCTATTACTTGATCTCTTTTGCCGCTTTGCACTATTATTTGAACTATTTCCTTTATTTTGATCTACCTTCAATTCTGCCATTTCTTTTTTAATTTCGATTTCTGAATCATACTTTAAAAGTAAGTTTGATTTTACCATTTTTCTTGCTTCAGAATCAATATAACTATGGAATCTTGGATCAATAAACGCAGATTCGGTTAAAAACACATTTTCAATAACACTAAAATATGAAATACATATGTGGTTAATTTCAAAAAATTTTCAAAAATAAGTGTGCACCTTTCCGTCAGTTCTTTCACAATAATGAGTTTAATTTGTTTTGTCATTTCAGAATCGCGTTCCTCTATACAATAATTGAAATCTATTAGTTTTGATATTAAAGGTTGCACTAAAGTGCAAGAAGTTATGTGCTCATCAGCAATTGTTTCCAATGTAATCTGATTTTGAATTAGATAAGAAAAAGTAAAAATAACCAAGTAAATTCAATGTCTGAACAGATACCTTAAGTGGGTTTAAACAATACAATATTTCATCGATTTTTTGCATTACATTATTCTCATCATTTTTTAAGGACACCGTATCAGTAAAACGTTGTAACAGGTAGATTTTATACCATATACAAATTTCGTCCATACCTATGTAGAGCTCGGGCTGCAAAGATATTATAAATTAATATATTCACACGAGGTTAGTGCCTCTAACAAATTACCTCATAGTCTGAAATTACTTTCTCATAAATTCTTAAAGCTTCATCGAAAATTTCTTGTACATCTTGCAGATTAAATACATGTTTAATACAATTTTGTAATATAGCATCTATACATAACACTATTTGAGCATTTACAGCTATAAACATAAATAAATTTAAAACGACCTTTACAAACATCGCTGATATTTACTTACCATTGGTTTTAACAAATTGTTGTAATTGTGTATTATTTTGATTAACGACGACAGCTACACAATTTTTAAGATCTATTCCATAAAATATCTCTTCAAAATCTGTTATTTCTTGTATTGGTAACGATTTGTAAAAAGTGTTATCAAGTGAAATTTTAGATATGTCCAGGAATATAAAACAAATATTCGTATATAAGGGGTTTTCGGGATGAGTGAAGTTTTCAAAAAATTCTACACTGATTGAATAAGGATATAAGGAAGACTTTTGTTCAATAATTTCGAGTTTTTTATTAAGATTTTCTTGATATATCATTTCAATATTTTGTTTAACCTGTAATGTTAATATGTATGCGTTAAATATGTATTATTACAAAAATCTTGGACTTACTTCATTCCTTTTAACTTCATCAAAATCACCACCCATACATCTAATTAAATTCTTAAAACCTTCCCCTTTAAAAATAGACGGAGACAACAAGTCCAAAACTAGCATCTTTTGGATCAAGTCATTCACATTATATTGCTGAACTTCAGGATTTATATGATTTAAATTATTTGTATCAACTGCCATACTTTCATATTCATAATTTTGTACAGAATCTTCCTCATTATAATTATTGTCTTGAGTGTCAAGTTCACTTGTAAAATCTGTAATCAGATCGCTAGAAATTTTAATATCAATTTTTTGCTGACGGTTTTTCTGTATGTTTATTTCTCCGTCTTCGGACTTCATTTTCTTAACTTGAGGAACAGTGGACACATAATAACTTTCAGATTTATCTAAATATGAAAATTTAAATTACTAATTATATACGCATATATTTTTTTTCCTACTTAGACCAAATGTTATATGTACATATTACCACATACCTGCGAATATTTCACGCCGTTTTTCCTGGGCTATAGCTATAAATTCATCAGGATGTTTTGCCACCAAATGAGTTCTTAAATTTGTAGTATTTTTATTATAAACTATTGCTGTATTGCATAATACACACAAGATCTTATTTTTTGTAACTATTTGACTGTTATCGTCAGCCGGAAATCCGAAATATCCTATAAAATAATAAGCGAAAAATGATGTTTTTTATATAAATAACTTTGTAAAACCACAATATTAGAAATTGGTTTAAAAATGTTCTTACTCCAATATGTGCTACGCATTCCTTTGGGAACTACAATTTTTGAATATTCCACCGTTGTTTCGGCTTCTTTAAGTTTTTCAATTTCTTCACTCATATTTATTTTTTTTTTTCAATGAGACTCGAGAAATGCAATACTTTTCCCAAAATCGAGACGCTATTATTCTCCAAACAATGTATCAATTATCCGTAAACTAAATGTCATTTGACATTTCGACATATTATTTAAAATTTGACATTTCAACTGTCAAATAAAAAATTTAAAAAGCATTCACGATCACAATATGCAAAAGCATATTATGCAATATATCAGAATTGTGTCATTCAATAATAAAATTTTCAATAGAGTTGGTTACGATACATTGACTGCAAATTATTTATTCATCTTAAATTAATTATTTAAAGTTAAAATAATTAAAAAAGAACTTTAGAATAGCTCTGGTATAAAATAGGAACGAAAAAATGGAAGTAGAAAATCAAAAAAAGGAAAAATAAAAAAAAAAACCTTTCTAAAATCTAATTAAAATTTTTTTTTTTTAAATATTGATAATATGTATAACAAATCCTTTACCGTAATTAAAATTAAACAATCATAGTATGACACTTGTAAAATTAAAATGAAATGTCAGAAATCAAAACGTCATTTAATTTAAATCAGTAGGGTTTGCCAATCTAAAAAATTATCTAGTTCAAAAATCCGAAAGGTTTTTTTGAATCTTGTGAAGCTCAGACCTTGAAACGGAGCAAAAGAACACAACTAAGGTTTATATTCAGTATCCTACAATGTTTAAATTGACATTGCATTGATTATTCTGAAAATACATTTAAAGTTAAATTTTGGTAAACTGTTTTTGTAAAAAGAAATGTTTTTCTGAAAATAAAAATAAACCGAAAATAATGTTTTTGAGTGGTACTCAGATACATAATGATACATTATTTTTTTGATTTCTGTTACAAATGAGTAACAAAAAATAATTACGTGAAAAAATAATAATAATCTGACCATTGGTGCAATAGTTATGGCCCTTTAACCAAAGGGTCCCGGGTTCAAACTCCTGTCAGGTCATTATAAAAAATTATATTTAATATTATAGCTTATGAAATAACAAACAATACTTATGAAATAACAAATTAATATACAAGTAATTTTCATATATGTATTCATAATTAATTCGATATTAAAAAAACCAAGATAATAAACAATAAATATTAGTAAGTTTAAATATTTAATATAAAGAAAAAACCACGGCAGGCTAGTCACCTACTTAATTAAAACTCTATGACGCAATGAAACTCGAGCATGACATAGTCTATGATGTCATGCACTAGCCCTATATTCCTCGTAGGAGGAATCCTAGTGGAAAAGGAAAAAAAATAATTATAATGTATTAAAAAATTATAATGTATGTATCCTTACAATAATCATGAAAAAATTTGATACTTAAATTAAGTAAAGTTCAGATATGATCATCCCTTGACTACTTTCAACTAATTATCAGCATTTTTTATGTCATAACGCCACCTAGCAAAACTTCAAATGGGTAAATGTAAATAAGAAACAATAAGGAATAAGCACATAAAATTTAGGTTTTTCAATAGTACATATACAAATTGAATATTATATAGATTAAAATTTAAAGTAAAACATATTGAAAATGAATTTACTAGAGTTAAAAGTTTTAACTTTAAATGTTTGGTAAAAACATAAAAAGAAGTTGTAAAAAAAATGTAATCTTTATATATATTTCAGGGGCATACCATATGTTTCTAGCGACAAAGAAACTAGAATAAGGTAATGACTTCTGTTTAAACGTTTTTTTTCTAATTGTTAACTACATTCGCAAGTTCGAATAGAAAGAAAGACAGAAATATAGTTTATACTATTAGAATGAAAAACTTGTTGAGTACTAATATTAATCTGCAAATATAAGACTGAGCCCAGATATTTTAAAATAAAACAGGTCAATGCCTAGATTTGTGTTTATTTATATATTATTATCTGTAATACAGCATTGTTTTTTACTTGAGTTTAAATATTTTATACGAATAATTTTTTTAAATAAAAATATACGTAGGAACTACCTATATAATTTTTTTCATATACTAACTAAAAATTTTATCGGAAATTTCAGTGCAATCGCTAATCAGTTAAGTATAGGGAATTATGATATTGTTGCCTTACAAGAAGTATGGTCAGAAGCAGATTTTCAAATCATTCAACAAGAAAATGAAAGTGTGTTACCATATAGTCATTATTTTTACAGGTAAGAACTATTTGAAATATAAAAGGATAGATAAAATTTCTAGTTAAATTGTTAATTAACAATCAGTGGAGTATTTGGAGCTGGCCTTTGCATTTTCTCAAAATATCCTATCGTTGCTACTATTTTTCATTCATGGCCTGTAAATGGATATTTTCACAAATTTCAACATGGTGATTGGTTTGGGGGAAAGGGTGTTGCTCTATGTCGAATTTTAATTAAGAATCAGATCGTTAATGTGTATAATACGCATGTAAGTTGTTTAATTAGCATATACATATAGCTAAGTCTTTGTCTTACCTTACTTATTTTTAGTTACATGCGGAATATGATCCTAAAAATGATGACTATAAAACTCACCGAGCCATTCAAGCATTTCATACCGCTCAATTTATTCAAGCTACACGAGGAAAGGCAGTGCTTCAAATTTTGGCAGGGGACTTGAATAGTCAGCCAGATGAAGTTTCTTATAAGTAAACTTATGTTAAAAATAACGGTAACTTTAAAATTATTTAAAAATTTTACTTTCAGAACCATACTTCATACATCTAAAATGAACGATTGTTGCCCTTATGAGGATATAGGTACAAATGAATGCATAAGGAATTCTTATTCTACGACTGAAGCTATTAAAAAAAACCCAGTTGGATTGAGAATTGATCACATATTTGCAAGAGCTTTTAAAAAATACACCGTAATTTTTTTCTTTAAATGAATATATACGCTTTCGTATTTACAACTCTTTATGAAAATATTCTTATTGAATAAAATTTGTAGGTATTCGTCGATGAATATAAACTTCCTTTTCCTGAAAGGATTCCTGGATATAAATTTAGTTATTCGGATCATGAAGCCGTTTGTGTTAAAATTTGTGTTACTGAAAAAAGTAAAAACAAGGAAATCGATTCTGAGGGTGATGATTTGGAAAAATGTCGTTTAGAATGGAGAAAAGAGAACGAATTTGTAACAGCTGATATTCTTAAAGAGTGTATAAATCTATGCGAGAAAAGCATAAAAAAACTAAGAACGGATCGAATGTTTTATTATAGTATTACAACTTTTATAATTTTTTTGCTTGTTATATTAGTTGATTTTAGAGTTCCTTATGGATTTAGAACACTTTATTTGTTTTCAAAATTTATACTATTTGGAATAGCTTTGTTTTCATTGTTTATGGCAACAATTTGGAACCATATGGAACGAAATGGTATACGTTCTGCTAAGCATTCTATGGAAATTGCTCTAAAAAGTTTACACGATTATCCTATTTTTCAAGAATAGTAAATGGATATTTTCACAATTTTTGCCCAAAATCTATATTTAAAAAATAGTTTGTTTCTTTTTGAAAACTTTTCTTTAAAACTAGGGATAATAAAAAATTTAATATCGACCAAAATGTATTTTAAATACTTAAGATAAACATTCCATTTTTTAAAAGTCGTGCCAAAAATTAACATGTAAAATTTGTTTTTTTTCACATTATGTAAAATTGGTTTTTTCACATTATGTAAAATTTGTTTTTTTCACATTATTTTATTATAAGACAACAGATGCTTTTATAATCAATATGAATCCTAGATTAGTCTTTGACAAAAATAAATAATATTTATCCAGATTTATTTGGTTACAATTTATTTAAATAATTTAGCAATTTCATTCAAATAAAATTATTCACCTACATTGTCCAATAGGTTTCTACTTATAATGTATTTTATAATCACATTATCAAAATTTATAAATAAAAATACATTCTCATGCATTTACGAAATTTTTTTTTCCTAAAAAAGAAAAAAAAATAAATGAAAATCTTGTTTAAATAAGTATATAAAAGATCACTTAGAATAAATATAATTTGTATGATTATCTCTATTTCTTATATATGTACATAAATATAAATTAGTAATGCACTGAATATGATCGAAAGTTAATGTTAATAATTGAATCATCTCCGAGTTTTTTTTTCAAATTTTCGTTGGTTTGCTTGAGTAGTCTATACTTCCGTAATGATTTCTAAAAGTTTCTGTTATTTGCTCATTACCTGTTTCGGTGTTTCCTAAGCCACCTTGATAGTAACTCGAGGTGTTTCCCGCATTTTCTGGAATTAAATATTGTGATTCAGTGCTATATCCCCCAGGAGCAACTAAATAATTAGATCGGCCGCGGAATGGTCTGGTAATAGCGCTGCTCACAACTTCTAAGTGTTCTGTAACGTCTTCATGAACATCTCTAATATCCCACATAGCAAGAAAAGCATTAAACCAGTTTCTGTCTGGGTTATTCCAATATTGTGGAACATTAATATGAAAAGGCTTATGTGGGAAACTATATACATGAGCTATTGCAGCTAAAAACATTTCGATGCATATTAAAAAATTCTAAAAATTTCAAATCAAATTAAAAATTACTTCAAAAAAAAATTAAATAAAATTAAATTACTTGAAGCAATGATGCTAATCCTTTGTAATCACCGTTTGTTTCAGTTGAACCAAAAACATTTTTTATATATCCAAAATAAACTAAGAAATTTATTAGTACCCCTTGACTGAAATATTAAAAGATTTTCATTTTTTTTATTATCAAATATAAAATTAAACTGCATAATATTACAAAAATGAGAAAAATACGACAGCCTTGATGCAAAGAAATTTCGGAATCGGTTGCATCGGACGCAAATCATCCTAAAAATGTTTGAAAACGTATAAAAAATTTAATTTACTTAAGTTATTATACCTTATTAGCACGGTAAAATAATACTAAAGAATACATTGCTATAAATTGGGTTATATTATTGATGATTATTATGTAAGGAAAAGCTACATTAAAAGCAAAAATTCCTTCTCCATATACGCCACATAATTCGCAGACGCTAAAAAAATATTGATATAATTACATTACATATTGTAAAATAAAAATATAAGTGATTCATTTACAATGCAATAAAAGTTGTTAATGGTCGAATTGCTACATATTGAATAATTCCATGCTTGCAATTATGAATGAATTCTCTACCCATTGGCCAAGGTTTTAGACAGCATAAAGGAAAAAAATGATAAACTTGTGGTTTATGCTCAAGGGTAGCTTCCAAATCCATTCCAATATTCAGATAATTTAATAAATAAACCATAAAATTATATATGACATACGCTTCGTAGCACTCACGGAAGGAGTCAAAATAAATTGAGTGATTTGGAAATAACAAACCAATCCACTGTAAACAAAATATTAAAAAGAAATCCTACGTAATAAAGATTATTTTTTTTTGTATTTTACCGCATTCATTGCATATATTGGGACCATCCATAATATTCTAATAATATGTTTTTGTAAAATAGGTTTTGTAAAATGAAGAACATGTTGCATTATATGCCATACAGAAATGGGCACCGCACTAAGAACTAACAATCCTCTAAAAGCATAAAAGAAAAAAAGGTATTTGTACTTTATTATCGAATTCAAGCTACAAGAATTAGATAAATACTTAAGAGTTTAAATAACGGTAAATAAGTAAAGTATAGGTACCTACTTACCCTATTAAAATCAATTGGTCTTTTCTAGAAAATCCATCTTTTACAGAATTTATAATTAGTAAGGGAACAACGATTATAGCAAACATAATATAAGTAATTATTAAAAGTGGTCTTATCCATAGCTTCCACTCTTGACAAAACTCACGCCAATTTACGTTAGAACAACACATTTCTAAAAAGAAAATATTTTAGTTGAGTTAAACATAAGTTATGTATCTATTTCATAATAGCAAAGGCATACGTACTTTTCATTCCTTGACAACACTATGTGATGTTTTTAAAATCTATAGAACTAAGAATAGCATTATTAAAATTTAATTTTATTTTCATTAAATTTTTATCTTTTTTAATATCACAAAATGAACTATGTAATTTTGTTTTCTAAAATTTTTAACATACATAAATAGAAAGGTACTTAGATATAATTTTCAATATTAAGTTATTCAATTTAATAATATCATTTTCTTTTTTTTGCGGTTAATACAAATTTTTTTTATATGATCAATTCTTTGTTTTTAATTTTTTTAATACGTGTTTTTTTTTTATTTTTGTGGTGGTTTTATGCAAATATTAAAAATTTTAATGTATATTTCGCTTTGCTGAATAAAACCGAAAGTAAAAAACTATAACTAAAATACAATTACAAACTTTTATACAATTATTTCATGCTTAAACGAAAGAAAAACAAGAAAATTTAATGTTTAAATTTTTATCTTGCTTAATTAATGTTGCAGTGTTTTTGTGGTGATGCACAATATAAAAATGTAAAGAATTGTCAATATGACAGCAGTCGTATTTATTTTGCGTTAGTGCACACATATTTGTACAAATCTAAACAACAAACCCTTGAATAATTTTAAATGACAATTGACAAATATGTTTAGTATAAAATACAATGAGTATATAACGCGTCAAATCCATTGCGTTAGCCAAGCGATGTTTTTTAGTAGGTTTACTAGATTTTTTTCGAGTCACTTGTCAAGTTGCTATTGAACTTATTAAATAAATAACCGAATCAACATGTCTAAAATATTCAATTATTTTATGATTTTCAATACAAATTTTAAAATATAAAGTTATAAATGAAACTCTTCTTTGTAGAAGAGTTAATGTCGACAGAATATTTATGACATTTGAAATACTTGTCAATCGTTATTTTAATATTCCCCTCTATTATGTATATCGGTATCGGCCGATAAACGATAATTTATCGGCAAAATTTTGTGTTTGTATTACCAACATTGTTTATCGGTAAATTTTATCGGAGTCGGGAAAGCTTTTTTTCCTGTATAGGAAACGTATTAGCTGGTATTATGAAAACGATAAATTGTCGGATTTTCACCGATTTAAAAGCGGGTACAAATTTTTAGACGACAGATTTTTTTTTTTGTAAAATCTTCATTTTATCAAGGAAACTGGTGTAATTAATTGCTTTTTTAAAATGTAAGCATTTTTTCTAAATTATTTTCTTTCAAAATGTTATTCATATATTTTATTTAGGAGTAAAATCGTAAGCAACAAAAAACAAATTGCGCGGTTAGTAGAAAAAATGGAAGAGGACTTAAACCTGACAAGGAATGATAATCTGAAATTCTGGATAAACCTAAAAAATGTGTACATATTATATAAATAATAAAATAAAATAGGTACATAAACATACATTTTGCTGTCTAAATCCAATGGATTAGTTGAATCTCTTATATGTCGTCTTTGAATAGCTTGCGTTTCTTCACTTACTACCGTTTCTTCACTTTCAAAATATAATACACGCGACATTTTCCCGATATATGTATATTTTTATTTTACAAATTTAACAGAAAATAATTTGCTTACAACAACTTTTTAGCACATCAAAACCAAATTCAAAATAGTTTTAAAAATTTTTTGAAAATAACTTTTGAAAGAAAACAAATGTCATAAGAAAAAAAAAAAAAACTTTTTCTCCAATTTACAAAAACAAAAATTTGTATGAAAAAGCTTCTTTTAATCGGTTGAAATATTTTTATCGGTATCGGTTCATAATACAGAAGAAATTTAAAACCGATTAGAACTGCCGATAATATATCGGCCGATACCGATGTTCATAATAGAGGGGATTATTAAATAAATTGAAAATTGGCAATAACGGTAAAAACCCAAAACATAAATTTTTTATTGTCCTAGTATAATAACTGTACAAACGCAGAATTTAAGTTTTTTTTTTGTACAAATATATTTCTAGGTTTAATTAAATTGAGTATATTTTTATGATAATGATAGTAAAATCCAATATTATAAGTACAATTTTTTTGGTTTGTCAGATTTTCGAAGATTCTTTGGAGTATTGGAAGAAGAAGTTAACTCTTACGTCTTCGGGTCAAGAACAAGCATTTTCCTGAAGAAAATATTTATAACTGTTTCAAAGCTGTTGAAGCCATAATAATGTCTGCTTTGCAACATAACAGTATGTCAATGACATACTTACTGTTTTCTAGCAATTCAAAATTTAAACTAAAAATGTTTCAAAAAATGTTGTCCTTATAAATAACTTTTATGCTGTTATTATGCAAGCGAAATAATAATTTATGTAAGTAATTTTCTAAGAATCTGTAAAAAACCTATTGTTCTAAATAGATTTAAAGTCTTTTCCCCCGAGCCTTGAAGAAATATTTAGTTTCTACTCGTATAAATTTTTGGATTTAGATTTCATATTTTTTAATTTATTTTTCTTACAAAAAATAAAATTAAATAAAAAACTAAAGTAGAATAAATGTAATAGAAATAAGTAGAACAATAATTTGGAAATTGTACTGTGGAAATATTTCACGCTTCAAAAATCTTAATATTGATATTTACAATACATAACAAAATAATAAATAAATCATTCTTCACTTTATTCAAATATAACGAATAACTTATACAAAAAAAATAAACACAAAAAGATCACAAATGAATTTTTTCATTTAATAATTTAAAAATTATTTTTGATTTTAGTTTGTGAACCTTAAAAAATAATCGAAACTTAGTGAAATTTATGTATAATAAGCACTGAAAATAAATTGTCAGAAAATACTAAGTTACAAATGCATAAAAAAAAATTTCACCAATGCAGAAATAATCATAAATATTAAGTAAATTAAAAATAAAAAACTTAATAAAAATTAATAAAAGAATCTTAAAATACTAACTTTCTTTCTCAACATTCTTAAGGATATAAAAATTAAATTTTTCTCTTTGAACAGATAGAAAATTATATGATATGAAAATTATGAATACTTTATTTAATGTGGCAGGCAAAATGTTAAGGATCTTAAAGTTTTTTTATTATTTTATTAAAGTAGCCGAAAGAATAATATTATTATCAAATAAATATTAGTTGTTTAGAGCATATTTTTCAGCTAATTTGTGATATTCAGAATCATTTTTAGGTATATTTTGAAAATTTGGATTAAATGCGAGTTGGTATAGATTCCAGAATGATATATCATTTTCAAGTATTTCATATGTTTTTTCTAAACAGAATGGGCGTTTAAAATTATAATGGTTTTTGTATGGGTTATTAATGTTATTCTTAGTAGTTGTATCTTCTTGGCCAGGATTAAATAATTTAAATGAATTATTTTTTGAATCTGTACTACCACTGCTACTGCTTTTATTAATGAAGCTTACCAGACTATAATTTTTAATTTCTAAAATTAAAAAAATTTTATTTGTAATGTCTTATTTTCTATATGATAATAAATTTTTTACTTTTCTCTTCATCAATATTTGTCCAGTTTAAATTTTGATGTAATCTTTCTAATTCACACAAACTGCAGTCTGAATCCGAACATTTTTTTGAGGATCCTGATGATATTTCTTGAAGTGATATGTCTTAAATTTTAGTTATAATAATTTTTTTTATGTAAATTAATATTGTTGAGGCGTACTTTACTAAATTTTCTTACCAAATATTTCGCTTTCATTAAAAAATTCATTAATTTTCTGAGAGTTTTTTATTGGTGAACTAGTTTTGGTATGATACATTATTACTATTGATTGCAATTACTTTTTTGTATAGGATTACAATCTATTAATTTAATTCCCATTGCTATACTTTTTATAATATTCATAATTTCGAATATTGCACTTAAAAATTAAGGGAAATGATGTGAATATGTTGTAAAAATGTAATGATTTGTTTATTTGTGATATTAGTAAATGTTAGTGGAATCCATTGCTAAAAATTTCCTGAAATTAAAAATTTATTCTGATGATAAGAAAAAATAATAATTTTAAAAGTGTTTTAAAAATGCATTAATGAAAATGATTAAGTTTAGTAGATTAATGGAGGTTTAAGCTAAAAAGAGTATAAAATATACAGAGTCTCCATGATTTCATAGATAAAAATTTATTTATATACTAAGTTTATTAAAAGGAAAATAAGGTTTTCAAGCGGCATTAATATTTATTTCTCACTTTAGCAATTAATTACAATTTTTATTAAAACAGCATAAAAACTTAAAAAAAAAAATAAATATGAAAACACAAAATGAGCAGTAATATTTAAAAACAAACGTGTTGTGTCAACATCCGTTTTCACAGTCTTTTGGTTTTGCATGTTAACTTTGATTTATAGAAATTTGTTGAATCTTATGCGTGTTAAATTTGCTACGAATTTTTCCGGTTTTTTTGCACTATTCTTTTAACAATAAGCAAGAAAATCGAAATTTTAATTTTCTTTTGTTACACTCTTTTTTTTTTTCCTTGAACCTTATTTGATGTCTGTTATGTCCTCACAAATAACAAAACAAAAACCTGCACCAGTTCCTGCCACCTTACAAGGTGAAGGTAATTCTATAAAAGTAGGTGACAACCTAGAAAACATACAAATAAGAATATAACAAAACAAAATTTATTTAAAATTAAAATTGCAAATGAGTTCTTGCAAACATTTACAAAAAAATAAACAACAAAAAAAAAAAAATAAAATAAAATGAAATTTAAAATAGTCCTTACAAATTTTCAGTGGTACCATTGCCACAATTTCCATGTTCATTCCAACCCCACGTTAAAACTTTTCCTGAATAAAAATCAATTTTAATTTTATTTTTCAATTTATTTAAATTATTTAATACACAACCGAATGACCCTAAATGTATGGGCAAACTATGCAAAAAGTATAAAAAACATAATTTTAGAGTTATCGCAAAAAAAAAACGCTACCATTTACATTATTTTAAATGTTTATTTTATGTAAAAATGAAATTGGAAAATAAAAATTTATAAAGAACTGCGACAAAAAATTGAAGGCTTTGTATAACTATTTCTTTAAAATTTTAAACAGCATTTTTGATTATAAGTCATTCAGTTGCCAAATTTTTTATAATGAGATTTTAATTTAGTATGCTTTATTACCTAATGAAGTAACAATTAACCCATGTTCAGACCCTAAATATAATTTTTCTGGAACACCAAATTCATCCGGAATATTTAATTTATTTGGTGTATGATATGCTTCTTTTAACGAGTTATTGCTACCAATTTGTCCATAAGTGTTTCTGCCCCAAAGAAAAATCTCGTTATTATTCGTCAAAATAGCGTTATGTGTCCAACCACATGTAGCCAATTTAATACGATTATCAAAATCAAAACTGTTAATCTGACCATATTTATTATCACCTAGACCAATAATTCTAGTACGATTTTCAACAGTAATTATAACATGATTTTGTCCGCTTGCTATAGAATTAATTTTCATTTCAGTTTGAACTTTTATAATTTCAGTTTTATTAAATGGAATACGTGAAATATTTAATCCTGGTGCATATGGCTCTGATATTCTTATACGTCCATATATATAAATTTTATTATCCTCAGTTAATATACAACAATGTCTTAAACCAAATGTAATTTTTTTTGGTATTTCATCATCTCGAGGCAATGTTAATTTTAATGGTCTTGTTATTGAAGACATACGTGAACATATTCCTAACTGTTGAAATGAATTCGATCCCCATACATAAACATTTTTTTCTAATGTAATTACTCCAGATATATCCCATCCACAAGCAATTTTATGTACTTTACTATCATTGAAAAATTCATTTGGTATTTGAGTAAATTTATTACAATGTTCACTAGTATCAAGTAAATTTCCTAGACCTAATTGACCACGATTATTCCAGCCACATGAAAATACTTGACCAAAATTGTCTAAAACTAAAATATGACCACCACCACCTTTTATTGAACGTATATTATTCGGGTTAAATTGTAGAGATTTCTGGTCAAGATTTTGTGGTGTCATACATAATTCACTTTCATATCCTAATCCTAATTGACCGTGAGAATTTGCACCCTTTTATACATATATGCGTACATATATATATATATATATTTTTATTTTTTAAATTAGTTAGGTACGTGCACGTATAAATCGAAAAAATTAAAAAACAAATAAATACGAATGGGTATATAAATTTGCACTTTTTTATAAATATGTATATACACATGTATGTATTATCATATATATATATATATATATATATATATAAATATATTGTATATCAACAGTTATATTATAATGTAATACTAAAATCTTTAAATTTGTAAATAATCAAATTGTTTACTTACCCATGAGAAAACCGCCATTGCCAAGGTCGTTCTTTTAAATCTGACTAGACCACCACAATAATAAAAACACCTGATGAATGTTATAAATTTTCCTTCAAAAGAACTTTATAAAACTTTAATATTCACTTTTATTAAATTTTCCTCTTTATGATCCTTTATCCTCGACATTAAACTTGACACTGAAAATTTTTTAGAAAAAGTCCAACCGTTTATGAATGAAATATAAAATCACGTGAAGGTTAAGAAAATTATGAATTCAGAATTTAATTTCCGTATAGTATAGATTAAACTTAATTTTTTATAGAATTTTTTTTAGCGCAAGTCAAAATTTAAAACACATTTTGAAGAAATAAAAACTAAAGAAGAAAAAATAAACACATGCTGCTTGCTTAGCTTGACAGTTAATGAATTGTTATGGTTTTTTTTTTGGGTTTTTTTTTACCCAGCAAACATTTGCTTTATAACAAAAATGAAGACTGACCGTTTCACGATAAATTTTTTTGTTAATAATTATTTGAAATGGTTTTGCCAATATATAGGCAATTTATTTTTTTTTTAAATTTACATAATTATAAAAAATATTGACTGCATGTCGTATTAAGTATTTTATAATTGTAACTGTGAATTAAGTTAAGTAAGCGAAAAATATAATAAAATAAATAAAGCAATAAAAAAATATTATGTAGTTTTAATACTTTTTTAATAAAAGAGTTTAAAATAAATTCAGCAAAAATAAATTATTTAATTTGATCTAATTGAACTTATTGTAATCTTTTTAATATGTATTAGAGTGGTAAAATGATGCATCATTCGGCATCATGATTACATATATTTTTTGTCCACTGACAAATTTCCTAAAGATATCTCTAAGTTTATTCAAAATATAAAGTATGAACTACTACATATATGTTTATCTATTTACATTAATTTAAATTAGTATAATTGATTATTTTTAATATGATCTTAAATATTATGTAAATATAATTAATAAACACATATGCGAATGCTTGCATTTATATATTATATTGGATATATATTTGTTCATCGTTCACATATATTTATATAGTTGTATAATGGTTACTTTGTGATCAAATATAATTTTGATGGAGTCATTATCTTTCTTGAAAGCAACACTTAAATAATAATATATGAGCACTATATTGTACTCGATTATAACAAAAAAAAAAAAGAAAAACAAATAAAAAATATATAATAATAAAAAAAAAAGAATGCCGCGAATTATTTATCGAACAACTTTTGCATACTAATTTATTGTGGCAGTGGTCAAATGTTACCTGTTACATAAATTCCTTTTTAAAGTCATGTTGTTACATACGACGAATTAAAACGTACCACGAGTTTTCTACTTCTTTTTTCTTTTTGTAAATTTGTTACTTCTTTTATTAACGTTATAATAATGTTGAATTGTATTAAGGTTTATTTATATACTTAGATATTGTGTGTGTACAAATGTATGTTAATAATTTATATGTATACGTTTTTATAGTGAGTTTGTACAAATACATTTAAAAACAGGTCCACACGTATTTTTTCTTTCCTTATTTTAATTTTAAATTTTTCTTTTTTAATGTGTATTTTCATTTGTATATCTAGATCTTAAAGATTAGATAAATTTTCTTAATAAAAACAACAATAAAAGAAACAAAAAAAAAAACATATTTTATTACCTTAAAATTAAATTAAAAAAATTTAACACTTGTTTTTAATTGAATTACGGAATTGATTCTTGAATTTTGTTTGTTTTTTGTGTATGTGTGCATATAAACATGAGTCATTACTTTATTTTTCATTTATTTTATTTTAATTATGTAATAATTCTTTGATAACGGTATAGGTTATTGACCAAATTTTTTCCTAGGTATAAAAAAAATCGGTTTTCATTTGAAAAAAAAAAAAAAAATATATGAAATTTTAAATTTGTGATGAACGAAAAAAGGGTAAGATAATAAATAAGCATTTAAATGCATTGTTCCACAAAAGTTTTAAAATCGTGCTCTCAAAATAATGTATTTGACATAAAATTTTGTTCTGGTAGAGCATTACTTGAATTCAAATTCAAACGGTACTTGTTTCAAAGATTTAATGTCAGAATAATGTCAACAAAAAATTTTTGCAATTTTTGTATTCTACGACAAAAATTACAGACTACATAATTTAATTGATAATTTTGTAGCGATGGAGAAAATAGAAAAATAAAACGCAATTTTTCTCTTTTGCAGTTTTTTATCAAAAAAAAATTTCGAGTGCTATTATTTCCAATGTCAAAATTTAACATTTGAATAATTTTTTATAAAATTTCGTTAAATTGATAAAAATTTTTTGTTTATTATTATTAATAATTCATTTAATACTTTACCAAAAATACAATTAATAAACAAAATTTATAATTGATTGCATTAAATTCAATTTTTCGTACATATGGTATGTAATTTTGAAAGATGACAAATAATACAATCCAAAACAAAACTTTCAATATGGATTAAAGTGTATAGATAAGAAGAAAAACTTTTCATTTATAAAATTAATGAAAAATTTTAATAAATTTTAAGAAAATAAAAATTTAAAAGCATGTCGATTTTATAATGTGATTGATTTCTACCATTTACAATATTAAAAAATTAAAATTTTCTTAATATTAAATGCAATACATACATATGTATATACATATATACATTATATATGATTTATGACACATTTATATGTATTTAGATGCGTTTGTATTCAATTGATAATTCATTCTTTCACATTTTAAGATACCATTTATATATTTTACAAATTCTTCGATCAAATAAGTTTCGCGCAATGCAAAATGCATTGTTTTTTATGCATGTAATTGCATATGGAATAGACCACCCTCAAAAATTAATTTTTGAAAATTTCATTTTTTGCATAAAAAGTTTTAGTTTCCATTGAATTATAATTTCCTATCCCATCTAAAATGTCATTAAAATTTTCATTTTATCATTAAATATATTTGTGCCCACAATTGATCTACTAGTTTAATGGTCTAATAGTTAAAATGGATAGATAACAAATTAGAGAGATAAGGAGGTAGACTATATTGTCAATCTAATAAACTAGTAGGTCACAAAAATCTAATTTCAATTTTCAATTTTATAAAAAACAAATTTTATATGGAAATGGATTAAAAATTATTTGATAGGATTGCCCAAAGTAGAAAAGTATATACAAAACAAAAAAGAAAAAAAAAATAAATTTTATATAAGATATTTGCCAATATAATGAAAAATATATATCTTTACTGATTAATTAATGATGACATGGCTCCCACAGCTAAAATCATATTGTGCACTTTGTCTCTATATTATAAGACAATTATGTATGTATGTACCTATATCATAATTGTAAACCTATATATGCATCATGTAGATGAGATATTCCGTTTTATAAGTATGTGCAGTGAAAGTATTTAAAATTACGGTAAAGATTTTTGGTTGGCTTGCTTTTGGTTTTGCTTAACATATTTTATGTTTTTTTTTGTTGTTTAAATCATTGCGGCACTGTTATTGTTGTGTAAATATTTGTATGTTATTTAATTTTATAAACATGCTGAAATTAACTGAAACATAATAACTTATTTCAAGCAGTCAATGAATAAAATATTAATGTGTATGATAAAAAAAGAAAAAAATGAGTAAAGTGTGTAAAGAAAAAAAATCCTAAAGATTACTTAATAATTTTTCAGTAATAATTCTGTAGTTACATATACATATACATATATCTTATGTATGATGGAAAATATTCCATTATGTAAAATCGTATAGTATAAGAATAATATATTATGGTGACCTAATACATATATGTGTTTTGAAAATAACACCGAATAATAATGTCAAATATGGATTTCGATACCGTTACCTAGCCCGGCAAAAGTTTTTATGTTAAAATTATTATACAACACATTTTACATTATGTAGAATAACGTTTCATAGTTAATTTCTTAATTTAAAAGGAAAAACGTTTTCTAAATTATCACTAGAGTACATACCTCTTTCGAATTCATATACATAACGTAAACATATTAATTTATTAATAATAAAACGATTCATTGTGCTTCTAAGTAAGCCTTTTTCTCACCAACAAATCCCACCCGTTGCCATCCTTAAAAATATAATCGTATTTTTATTTTCTTAAATATATAATTAAATAAAAACAATATTATTAATTTAAAATTAATTATAATCTTATTAAAATATAATAACAATAATATTGAATAATTTTAAATGCATTATAATAACATGTTTTAATTTAATTACATTAAAATAAGCAAAAAAGAAAACTATAAAAAGAACACAATCTGCACAGCATGATCATAATATCGATTTAATATTGACTTGTAATTTACTCAGCTCCTGGAACATTATACACAAGCATACATTGTAAACATGGCCTTACTGCAAAAAAAATAATAAAAATTTTGTTCATTATTATTTTTTTTTTTTTAATAATTATGTTTTTTAATATGACGTCATTATTATCACGATCACTAAAAACATATTTTGTATGAAAATAATTGAGACGCTCAAAAGCAGAATAATTTAACTCCAAAAAAAGACATTTCATGGTAAATGCATTTCAAGTTTTCAGAAAAACTTTTATCCCGTTAATTTTGTATCGAATTTTTTATGTGTATAACTTTTACGTTTAGGAGAAATTTATGAAAGAAATAATTTTATTTATATGAATTGAAATAATTAAGGGTTTAATTACACTTACAAAATTATAATTAATAGACAATTGAACGGTTAGACCACTTTTCCACCTCACGGATTTAATGAATTTAAAAAATTTTGCTCTAAAAATGTTTATAGACTTAGAAGTTAGAAAAATTATTTAAACTGGTTTTAAAAGCAACATAAAAAAACAAAATTGTTATAAACAAATTATTTGTATCAGTATGGAAATTACAAGATCGTTTGAACCATTTGATTTTAGACCGTTTTCTAATATAGTTTCATTAAATTATTTCAAAGTCGACAATTTGTTCTTTGAAATACTTTGATTTTAAGAGCCTCAATTTCAGTTTTGATTTTATGTTGTCTTGTCTATATGTATATATTTGGTAATGAAGTTACAAAACAGAAAATTTAGTAGTTTCTCTTACAAGTAATATAATAATCTTATATAAAAGGTGTTTCTATTTATTTTTTATATATAAGATTATTATTAATATATACCCATAAATTTAATAATATAAAAATGATGAATAATTTATTATAAACCACCCACAGATAAATATATATGTATATACATGTGTAAATATGAAGATGGGGTATTATTATTGTTTAATTTATTAAAATTGCAGTAAGAGCAGCAGCAACAGCAGTAATAACAACAG